CATATGAAACGCACCAACATCTATCCTGGTGTTGGTCTTGCGGGTGAAGAGAACGACCATATGAAACGCACCAACATCTATCCCGGTGTTGGTCTTGCGGGTGAAGAGAACGAGCATGCAAAACGCACCAACATCTATCCCGGTGTCGGTCTTGCGGGTGAAGAGAACGACCATGCGAAACGCACCAACATCTATCCTGGTGTGGGTCTCGCTGGTGAGTCTGAAGAATAAATTCCAGCGTGAAGAGCATTCGGGCATCCAGAGTGGAATTGATAGGGTGTAGTAGAGAGGGTGAAAGCTATGAACCTGCCTTTGAGTTACTGGTAATTCCAATTCAAATAATGTGCTAGTCACATCACCAGATTTACTGAAATGAGATGTTGTTCTTGAAATTCTAGTTCTGTTAGCCTACGTAATATAATATGGTAAACTTCAGCTCACGAAACATTTTGCTTGATAGTATGCCGTTTCGTTCTTCGCAAGGTCCAACATCTGGCGGGGGGGCTTTCTTTCCAACACAATGTAACTTTGAGTAGGAAAATTGAAAAAAAAAAGGAATACTCGTATGTCTACGACTGAGGTCGGAACAACTGAAGTTTCCCCGCGATTTCTTTTCAGGATTGTTCATGAGGTAAGTTACTAGGCTACAACATCTATCCTATTCGATAGTGAGACCAGCTGATGGAATGGGCGACCTAAAGTTTCCTTACATCACCAATTCACGTATACACTTCCTTGAGAGGATAACAGGGCTAGGCCACTGACCTCAAACAGGATCCTGACTGAGGGGTCCCATAGACTCAGCATATTAGCGAGACTTTCCGACGGCAACGTGAGAACTTCCCTTCTTTGTCAGAGCGTACAGATAGAAGTAATGCTTCGGACTTAGGAAAGGATTGGCTACAGCTGGGGTGGAACGCCTAAGGAGGATAGTACGAAGCACGCCATAGCTGAAGTACCACGTAGCGCATAGAAATAGCCTTGCACGGTTGTATGCGTAATTCTGAGTCTCCCCAGCTTCACGCGGCTATGCCTAAAAAGCGAACCGCAAAAAAAGATTGCATTCGTATATGCCATGTAGGGTCCCCTCCCAAAGACCGTTAGTTGATGGTCGGCAGCTGCTGTAAACGAGTAGGATGCCTACATACAGGGTGCAAAGGAGGGGTAATCACCCTGTCTATAGTTAGGAACTGGCCAGATCAGAATGGATTCTGGGATCTGTAGTCGCCGCTCCCCACTTGCAAGTCCAGCGCCTCAACTACGGAAAATGAGCCCTAGGTCTAGTGCTCCGTAAAGTTCGACATGCATAAATACCAGTATTGCTGTACAAGGTATAAACTCAACATCCGTGTATTTATCCCGATGTATTCGAAAAGTCCCACGATGTACAAGGTCCCGCAAGAAAAGAAAGAGGGGTTAATCATGGGTCTGGTACGGTTGCCCGCTACATTGAGTTTGGCTTCTTGCATTGCATTGCATATTGAGGGGTATGATTTCTATTATTGTTGCCTCCAGCGAGAACCGATATCGGGACAGCACGATAGTTCGGAGGACTTGCCGTTCCCCTTCTCCTTCATGGAGAGCTCTACCATCACGCCTTTGCTGCCAGCCCCTGACTCTGTGTTTACAGAATAGCAGAAGCTGTGCTCCTAACATTCCATGGTACATCGATTCCCACAAGCTATGGAGTTGCGAGTCTGCACTAATCCTCCAATTTAGATGATGAAGTCCATATTCTGGTGGAGGTATCAACCTCAGCACTCCAACCAGGAGAAAACGGGCTACCAAAGGCTTTCCGAGATAGACGACGAAACTCAGCAACAGTTCCGCGTCCAAACACCACGATTCTCGAAACGAAGGTTAGCAACCATTGGGATAGTGTTACTTGCTGTTTCTGTGATAGGCGCAGGACTCCTCTTAGGATTCGCTCCTCGCCAGAAAGACTGCAATTGTGGGAACTCTATCAAAGAGGCATTGACCAAAGGTTGCAAATACGACCCCATGGCAACCTCGTGGCTACCACCCATATGCCGCGATGACGAGTTGATCGAGGAGTTCAACCATGCTGGCCCAGGGCCAGACGGGGCCTGGGCATATTACAAAGACCAAAATGGTACCCAAACAATGACCCTCGAGGAGGTGGGACAGCTAGCCGAGAAGACGGGTGATGAGGCGGCATTCTGGACGACTCATGAATGGCACCTTGCACATTGCCTGTTTTACTGGAAGAAGGAATCCCGTGCGCGTAAATCTGGAAAGGTGGTAATTGAGAAGAGCTTTGAAGGTGAATATCACGTCAAGCACTGCTCGCAGGTATTTCAGAGTTGTCGGCCTCTGCAGGAGATCAACACGCGTTCTTCTGCAGGTCTTAACTCGGATATAATAAAGTAGTCTGGAATACAGACTGAGGAAATGGGGTGGGAAAGCCTGATCACTTTGAGTACGTGAAGTATATTGCGGATATGTTTAGACAGTTGACCAATACTGGAACAATCTACCGCTGAACGCTTTCATTATGTGTGCTAGCGAAAGTGACTATATATATCTGAATTTGTAAGGGATCATAGAGCTGTTGAATGGATATCAAATAGCTGGGGTGAAATCCCAAGAAGTGTCTTGACATACAGGGTGAGAAACGTAATGTATCTCTATCTACATCCAATACCCCAAAAATACAATCCCAACCATGGTCATCATCAACTCGAATGGGGTCTCTTCATCCTCTATGAAATCTTCTACAGTTTCGAGGCTATGGGCGATATGATACCGTTGACTGGACCAAGCGCCATACACTCATTCACTGTGCTCCTCATGGCCGCTGATGGCCATCGGCGACCGTGAAGGCACATAAATGCCGACATGCTCCAGTAAAACTGCCATGGGGTATCATATATAGCCTCTGCATGCCGCCCAACCTCGCGACATTCCCCAGGGAGGAGCAATTGTGGTGCAATAGAATGAATGATACAACAACGCGGGTAAGGCAGATGGGAATGATGAGATCTGACTTCCAGCACAGGGTTCGATACCATTACAGGAGTGTCAATAGAGGTACCAACAGGAGTCACCAGGAAACTAGGTGGTTACCTTACAGTCGTGACTAGGCACAGTGACTTGACCAGAAACACTCATATTCTTGACCAAGCGACTTCGGAGGCATTGCCCCAGGCAAAAAGGGCTTCGAGGAATTACATCCGTTGCTCATCTTCAAGGAGATCCTCTCGGACATACCCCTGTGATGAACGAGATTGAACTCTCAGATACATGACGAGATGTAACGTTAGATCTCTGTTTGGCATGTGAGTGCCCGTCCGAAGTCCGGATGTATGATTCTCCTTGTCAATATAGTCATTCCAGATAATGTAAGTACTTTCGTTGCGGAACCATTGCGATGTACGGTGGCGAATAAAGGGAGTTTGACGAATCAATACGGTGTACGTCCGTTGTGTATCGTGGGAAGAAAGCTGCCTTACCCGGCAATAATTAAAATACGCACGGCAGAGTACAAGTACGGGTACGGGCTTGTTTTAACCACCCTAGCATTGTAAGGCGCCTCGCAGTCCTGCAGGTCTGACGCAGTCCGCATCACTGGTACAGCTTCTCCAAGGATAAGATAAGTGAGGCAAGGAGCTAGGAAGGCCAGAGCCTAGCAGCTTACTTGGAGCACCACCCACCACATTGTCACCATCAAGCCTTACTCGACCCCGCAACACGACCTGTTTTCCTTCTCTTGCTCCTCTTTCCCGTCTCCTACTTTACTGTCTTGGAGGAAACTTAGTGAAGAACAGTCCTTCATCGTTCTATAAGACTCCAGGGACTTACTTTCTCGCTTTATCTAATCACATATTAGATGTGGCCTAGAGTGACAGATAACATGGAGTTCAAATATAAAGAATGGTATACAGATAATCTTTCTCCCAGCAGAATATCTCCCTCTTTTACCGCAAGGCTGATCGAATGCTACTAGCCCAGAGGACGATCGTACCCTCTCCAGCGAGAGCCTGCTGCATGATGCGGAGGTTGGAAACCAGAAAAGACCCCTTCCCAAACGCCAGCCGTGGATCAAATTTATCCACCGCTTCAAAACCATCCTCTATATTGCTCTAGCACTCTATGGCCTTCTCAGTCTCTTGCTCCAGACTATAAAATATATTCAATCTCAACAACCCATCACGTGTGATTGTGGAAGCTCCACGGCTGAAGCCTTGAGCAAAGGCTGTAAATACGACACCATGTCGGCAGCGTGGCTTCCAGAACCATGCAGAGATGACGAGCTGAGTGCTGAATTCGACCGGATGGGCCCTGGACCTAATGGCAAGTGGTCCTACTGGGCGGACCAGAACCGCACGCGAGAGCTAAGCATCGAGGAGCTATCCCTGTTGCCAGATAATAATCTGCCATTTTTTACGACGTGGGATTGGCATGTCGCCCATTGTTCCTATCGCTGGCGCAAGCAGTTGCGCCCTAACTTTCTATTTTATAAGATGAACAGGGACGCTGCGTATGGCCACGTTGAACACTGTGAGGAGGTTATGAGGGTGCATGATAGAGAGCAGACCATTATGTCAGGTGTCGGCTTGAATGGGTCGACATATTCTTGAGGTCAAAATGTCTTATTTGCTATTCCCACCTCTTCTTTGCATTTTCAAAAATGCGGTGGGCCGCTTTGAATGGCATTACATACTGGCTTTTATGTGATATACCGAATATCTAGCTTGGGTAAATGAGAAAATACCCCGAATCTATTTCAGCTACGGTTATTTCTGCTTCACATGAATCTCGTAACAATGGAATGTATACATCTTCCATATAAACTTCAGTTTATGGGAAGAATATTAAGTAAGTACGATACTCAGCACGCATGGCCATTCAGTGAGACTATATCTGCTATTGTCTATCGGGTTCTTGATCTCCTAACTTTCATGGAAGAGATGCCAGGCACAATGTGTGGGAGGAATTTGCGACACATACGTATTTATGCCATTACAGTGAAATATGGCGGATGTCCATGGTTAACTAGGTTCGATCATTTATACTGAAAGTTTTACTATAGCATGAACGCCGCCCCCAATGCAGCGCAGCCACCTAGTCTCAACACCCATACTGTACTTTCTGGGAGACCTAGGAGATAGCACAACCAAAAGACCCCGCTACTCATGACTGCAGCAAGTATCTGTGGCGCTGATATTGCAACGTTGTGAATGCTCATGATACTTCCTGCCTGTCCCAGAGGCAGCTCTGAACTCTCTGCTTCCGCGATAGTCTCCAAGTCCCTTCGTGTAGCAATCTCAGCCCCTATCATTGTATAAGGCACTATGGAAGAGATAGACCAGGGGATACCAATTAGCGCCACCAGAGTAGCGGCCTGGATCCAATTTGTGACAATTGTCGTACTGAACATCCCCGCCGCAAAGAATATGTGGCCAAAACGCCATATCATCACTATTTTAGGAAGGCGTTGCTTGCCGGAACCTTTCTCATTTCCTCCCTGTGCGGTTCGGTCCAGGAAGGTAGGAATAATAGCGGAGGATACAAGGCTTACGAGAGCACACAAAAGACCCGCTAGTGAACCTATCTCAACCCTTGTTTCAGTGTTTAGTGCACCACCTGTGTCTATGTGGAAGTTAGTGAGGTCCTATTTTCTAACCATAACGGTCGACAGGTGTAGCATACAAACTTCGTTCACATAGCTGCAGAGAAAGAGGTTAACATGAAGACGATGAATATGACACTGCCGGGACTCACAGCGTCTGGAAATGAAGGAATGGAAACCAGCCGAACCACGCTACAAACTGCACACGACATACTCTGCGTATTGGGTCCGGCAACGCCCTCAGCTCCTCGAAAATATATTTCAATGGGCTCAGTGGGTGTCCTTCCCTAGGGCATAACTCTGTGCCAGGCGATTCACTGTATTCCTTGGTAAAAGCGCAGCTCACGAAGGTTGTCAACATAAGGATGATAGAGCCCAGTATGCACAAGGCCTGAAATCCAGTAATGGGTGGCCAATTGAGCGTTTTTACGCCTAAGGGAATGCCCATGAAATACCCGATAATATTACCAGCACCAATCATATAGCTGGTCCAAATATTCACCCAAGTTTGCTCGTGCGCACAATGGGCTTCAACCATTAATGCCCGCAGGCCATTCTGTACCGGCTGGAAGGAAATGTTCAAGGCGTAGACCAACAGCGCCGCGAACACCTTCACTACCAATGTCGCGGCGGTAGGCTCCAGTTGAAACCACCTCATCAAGGAGGAATGGGCATGAACCAGGCTTGCAAGCAGATTTATGCAGATCGAAACTCCCATGGACCCATAAATAATGAATGGTCGCCGTCGACCCCATGATGATCGATAGGTATCACTAAGTGCGCCTATGTATGGTTGGACGATGACACCACACACTGGCCCAGCCATTAAGGTTAGGGCACTGGCAGGCTTGCTGAAGCCAAGACTCAGGAGATGGGCCTGGTGGATTATCAGTGAAGTTGATATCAATATACAGGAGCCCTGATTATAAAGCACTTACCGTGCCATGAGCAAAGTAAATGGCCCATATTACCTGAAGTCTAGAAGAATAATCTCAGCAGGCAGCGTACAATCATCGGACATCTACTTACCCAGCAAAACTACACGTTGAAGCTAACAAACTATAACCAGAGATCGCCATTCTCGCTCGGCCAACTGGTATTCTGGTTGAGACAGACTTGTTCGCGTTGACGATTAATCGTTTGTTAATAGAGAAGCTCCATTGAGATGGTTTCTGTCACAAAAATCAAATGAACCACAGCTACTACTGAGAGGGCTAGACGGTCATCTACCAAAGACAGCATTCTCGCGTGTGGAATCAGACAACCGATACCCCGCTCAGTTGTCGTAACCTTGCAGATGAGTTGTGATATTAGGCGTCCAACAGGAAGCAAGGCCGATCCTTGCGGATGACGATGAAACTACTCGTAGGCTTCGCATTGCAACATCCGAGCAGCAAACTGCATGTAAGGAGTGCATCACCTGTACGCCGTAAGCAGCTCCGCAGCGCCAGCATGTATCCCACTGTATGTAACATCAATCCGTATAGAGTTGAGTCAGCAGGGTACGGGAATATGTACATGCAAGCTCATCTTCTACTCCAACAGGATCCGGCTCGCTGCTCGTGGCCAGAACCACTGCTTCTCATGAGACGGAGGATAACTTAACCCCGATCGATTACTTCAATAGGATGTGCAGACAGAAGAGGTGAGGGGACGTGCAGATAATAGCTGCATGGACGATCTTTTGCGACAGATCCGCACGGCATATCGTACCAATTAAAGTTGATGGCGCAAGCCAAGCTTGGGGAATGTCCGGATTCTCCCGTTCGGATATTTCCGAGCATACATAAAATACGGTGGATCGTTCGTATAGGTGTATGTGCAATACGCAAGTACCCAGCTGCAGGCTGCATGTACCAAATTCCAAACCCAGTTAGAGTCAACCTGCACGAGTTGCAGTTAGGCCTTCCAAGTGACCGAAAACCAAGGGATGCTTGGACCAAGGATCGGGATTTGCGATTTCGAACAGAAAATCGGAGAGATCTGATTATGGCTCTACCGAAGAACCTGTAGGCAGACCATTCTGGCAGGTAGATTGGGGTCCTCGAGTGAGCTTGGTCTAATCTTCCTGGTGCTGGGCCCTGACCTCGCTATTCACACTTTGATTTATTCGGCACAGAAGTTTACACACTATCAATGGCTACCAAGGACGCCGATTTCAACGAGCCGCTACTTAGAGCGGACATGGGGTTCTGTGAGAAGGCATCATGGCCGCTGAAGCGCGTTCTCTTCGTGGCAGTAGCACTCAGTCTCTTGGTTTCTATGGTCGGCGCTATTATTGTTCATGTCGCACTTTTGTCGCATCCGCCGGTTGAATATGGGGCTCAATTGCTCCCAGGTTTGGAAGCTCGGCCGCGTGAGTGAATGTATTGTCTCTCTATCCTAAACGGAACTAATAATCGATTCACGTTTAGTTGGCCCAATCCTGAAGGCATATAACCCTGATCCCACATACACAATCTACCAGAGCAACGATACGAGAGAGAAATGGATGCAGTTATTTCCACGTATGTTATGATGACATGAGCCTGTGAAGCCCATGTACTAATGAATACCATTCCGTATTAGGAGGTATGGGTTACATTCAGATTGATAAGGTGAAGGAGCTTGGGATAGTCCCAGACTTTATTCGCAATGTCAACACAGACGGATCTGGCCGATTCTGTGTAGCAGCATTTCATCAGCTACACTGCCTTGTACGCCCTCTACCTTCTGCCTTAGGGCTTGTGAACGCCCCCACTGATAAACACCAGTATCTCATCTTCGAGGAGTTTTCTCAAGCTCTTCATGGCCAAATCAAGCATCCATCCGGACACACAATTCATTGCTATGACTATTTGCGCCAGTCAATCATGTGTGCCGCCGATTCAAATCTAGAGCCATTCAGATCGCGATTTGAAGGGATGAAACCAGGTGATGGAGTGGACGGGATTGGCAGTATCCACCAATGCCGAAACTTCGAGGAATTGTATGCGTGGGCAGACAGGTTCCGATACAAAGACGATGCCGATGCAGAGCAGTTTGAAGGATAACACACTATATCACTCCAGTCTCATTAAGCGCTTTAGTACACAATATATAAAATTTGGTTAGGCAAGCAATATACTCTGTACTGGTTCATATATCCATCAATATCTCGGTGTGGTTTTTACATTGGACAGTCCAGTCCGAAGCTGTGCGCACAAATAACGAATATCCCCATTCTTGGAAGGCCAAAAAGAGGATCGCAAATCATCCAATTAATTCGAAGAAAGCCATTATTTAGTACCCATACGTAGAACCATTCTTACCAATAGCCAACCAGACAGGGATTTTGCAGGACAGCGAATGGCAGTGGGAAAGAAGGGTTACTTACCTAAGCTGGAACAGCACTACCTAACTAACAAGACACCTCCTGTTAAATCACTTTGACTGCTGGAAACTCTGGTACTTCACCCCACACTCCATCACAATAAACAAAATGGCAGCTACTCAGTTCTCCATTCAACTAGCCTCGCCTGAGCACGCTCCCATCCTCGGCAAGATAAGTGGTGATTCGTTTCTCAACGATCGCCATACCCAGATGAAAGGCCTCGGAAAAGATCCATATGACCTGGAAAGGTCGATGGCAGCAGACATACCTCGACAAGCTACATCGCCCAATATCGTTCTCCTGGAAGCGGTGGATAGTACATCTGGAGAAGTTGCAGGGTGGGTATCCTGGGGGTTTCGAGGATTTACACCTGCGGAGATTGCCGCAGTGCGACCTGGTGAATTATTCACGTTTGTGCATAACTCTTCTGAGAAAGGTGAACGAGGGGAGGAAAAGCCTGCTGCAAAAGACCAGGATGACACATCAAGTGAGGTCGTGGAGGGTGACCCAATCAAGCGACTAGAAGCCATGACCGGAGCAGATCTCAAACGCTGGATGGACAAGGTCATGCCGGATGGCACCAAGTGCATGTTTGTCATATCCCTCTGCGTGGCCCCTAAGTGGCAGTCTCGAGGAGTAGGATCGTTGCTCCTGCAGTGGGGTACAGACACTGCCGATTCAACCGGGGTATTCATGTGGGTACATTCATCGGCCGGTGCGTGGCAAATGTATCGAAGTCACGGTTTTGAAACGATCGAAAAGCTCGATGTCGACCTAGATCAGTATGCGCCTGCACCACCTCCTGATAACGAGGAGATATGGGGACATTATGTGTTTCGGTATATGATACGGTTACCCCAGGGCAGCCGTGGATGAGCCTCCTCATGATTAAGGATATGTCAGCCATATCCATTCATTGTCTATGCAGTTGGGACCCTATAAACACTAGAAAGTACTTTATATCACGTCTGCACAGGCCCTCAGCGTAGACAGAGTGTAAGCGTATGGTTAGCGCTGGCTATCAAGCCTCCTGTATCAACGCTGAAAACAGCAGGTTACCATAGTGACATGGTTGTTGCATTCAACATCAATACTTTTCCAGAAAATAGCTTCCTATCACTCAAGCAATATGATCATTTGGTAAATAACGTTCGAAGAAGGGAAAAACATAAACTTGGGCAACATCACCGTATATGACGGGAAAATTATTGACATAATGTTCGTATATATATTCTCGTCCGGGTTAAGAGCTGGGCTAAGAACTAGAGCTAAAGGAAACGATCAATATCGCCAGATCGACCTACAGAATATCATAATCCCAGTCATTCTCTAGACCATGCAATACACTAGTTTTCTTGTCGGCGACTGTAAATACATCAATGTTCTATCTGGGTGACATGCCGATATCATACACCCCGTATACCCAACACGAGTTTCTCTGACCACCCTCTTTCATGGTGAAGAGAGAACATCCGTACAATATTCGATAGAATCTGCATATCTTGGTGATGGAGTCACGTTTGAGGGGTTCTCTGTATCTGGGTTTTCCTTCTTCTATGGCTGGTGAGTGTACGGTAACAGGAGACATCCTGTGTCACATCCAACACCTCATCGCAGCGCTTCGTAGTTTTCGATAGCCCCATGACTCCCACGTAATAAGGGTTGATATCCTCTGCATTGACAAGAAATTCACTAGGGAGAAGAACATGCAGATACCCTTGATGAGGGCGTACTCAATATTTAACCCTGCAATCTGATGTAAGGATCGCCCCGCTGTTTCTATGCATGACTGGATTCTTCACACATCTTTCGTGAATATATGGCGGGAAGAACGCCCAGTTAACACTGAATGAGCTGATATTATTTTCCCCTTTGTTCAAGCCCTCTAACAGGAGACACATCTGCCGTGTACGAAAGTAATGATGGCCTTCATTAGAGATGCATCGAACAAGTAGGGGCAGAAATGGAACACTCGCGACGTAGAGTCGATTGCTAAAGCTGGCCCCTGGGCGATTGCGACGGCAGCATGCTCTACCATAATTCCTTTGGGCTCTCCGGTGCTGCGCGAGGTGGAAATATTATACGCCGCTTGGCCCTGTTGGATGTTCACGTCGCGCGGTCTTGCGTCTAGTACAAGCTGCTTCACGAGCGCAGTATCAATGGAAATATTTCCAATTCGCGGGCTGAGATTTTTTCGATAGGTCTGCCGAGGTTAGCACAACGTGGGCGTTATTATTAATGAAATTTAACGTCCATATAGAGTCGTTGGCTATGACAGACACATGCTCCTCAGCAGCGGCCGTAAGCCTCTTCCCCCAGATGGTTCTCTAGGGGTCCCGTCGGCCCCCTCTGTCTTTGTATATGAACATTCTGGTCCATTTCCTCACCCGATCCGCCTATCTGCGCCAGGGCATTTGGACTATGCCCTTCACAGTATTCTGTGCTTGCGGTGAATGCCATTACTTAAGTATAGCTAGGTGGCGTCTTTACTATCCTTTTTCCCTACGCTCTGTTTCTTCTACTAGTTTTAAGTCTCTTAGGTTATCTTTAGAGACTTTAGCTGCTTCCTGTGCTTCTTTTTCTAGAAAGTAACCGATTTTTATTACTGTAAGAAAGGCTAGTAATACCTTGATTACTCTCTAGTCTCTGAAGAGACGACTCTCTAGAACTACTTTCCCTTATCCTAGTAATAATATACCTGTCCCTAATTTGGGCCTTATATAGCGTCTTTCTCTGACTGTTACCGCCTATATTCTACTAACAAATGACCTGCCGTTTCCAGTGGAGTCTGGCAGTTTTGGCACCTGAAGAGGTCCTGGGCTCCTATTTTATAGTGTTAAGCTGCTATAGATCTATATTCTGTTTTTATCTAGTAATTGCGACATGCTAACTACTTAGGAGTAGCTGCTGCTACTGGATCCAGATCTTATCCTTTTTTTGGTCAGTAGGTCTATTAAGCCCTCGGTAGTCTGCCTGATAGTTCTTTCCTCAGCTATTCTTGCCTTTATATTTCGCTAGTCTCTATACAGGACTGCCTTGTGTGGGCTAGACTAAGTCTTCTGTCTAAGGCTTTATAGGCCTTCCCTGTAGCTCCCTTAGCTGCTTGGTTAGCCCTTTTATTCCCTATTATATCTTGATATCCCGGAGCCCATTAAATCGTTATCTTACAGCCTCGCTGGGATAGTTCTTGGGTCACCCCTAGGGCCTGAAGGCCCATATCTGCCCTGGGTCTGATAGACTATGGCAGAGCTGCTTGAAAATCTAGTAGAACTCCTAAAGGGCTTTATATATTGTTATTAGTTCAGTATCAAAGACCTTCTTTTCTTACCCTAGAGATATTCTCCTGTGTAGGCACTAGTATAGTACCTGGAAATGCCTTAGGAAGAACGTAGACCACATTACCGCTGGGGCTTTCCTAACCTCAGCGCCCCTACTAGTCCTTTTCTGACTTGTGACGGACAATTCTATACATCATAAAATTCTGCTTTGCGCAACCCTTGCATTCCTCGGTCTCTACTTTGCCGTCGCCTTGCCGCCTCTCGATATGAAGGTATCCCATGCCGTGAAAGAAAAGGAAGGCCAAGTCCCTCGTGCTTTTCGTCAGGAATGAGTTATAGCGTTGGCCTATGGCCTAACAAACATGGGCTTTGGCTGGAAGCCTTATAGGGCCTATGTTTGCTCCGGAAATCACCGCTGCGTGTAGACGTCTGGCGTCACTTGAGGCCCAGATATCGAAGCTGTTATATCCGGTCGACACTGGTAGCGGATGGTTAAATTGTATGGAATAGGTATTAATGCTCTTGTGCCCGCTGGGAGTGGCTGGGAAGTTTATGAGTATTAGTACGTGTTGACAGCTAGTTGAACCCTGCGAAGTAAATGAATACTTATAAGAGTCCACAGGTTACCGAAACAGTACTTTGGTGGCTTCCTGAATATATTGGACGAGGAGTGTGGCGGCTTTCTTTGCTAACATAGAGTATAATTTAGACAGTGTAATGGATGGCATACCTTACGCTCTACCGTCCCCTTGTTCACAAATATTTAGACGTAAATCACGAAAGAAATCCAAAATTTCAACGAAGGGCCACTCCTCATTTACTTTCTGCTGTGCACCAACTTCCCCTGAACCCACACATTCTTAACATTCCGGTCATCACCGCTCCACATCCATTTCTGAATCTGCTCCTGCCACGTCTCATTTCCAAACAAATCAACATTGCCCACAGGACCAGACTTGGCAATGCTCCGACCAGTGAGGCCATTTACACGTGCACCAAGCGGGCTCACGCTGTTATTCTTCACAGCACCCAGCTCAATCAGCTGCGCATCCCAGATCATCCCCTTATCGAAGCCGCCAATGTCATCTGCCATGTCCACAACTGCTGCACCGCCCCGTGTAGCTAGATAAAGGCCCTCGTCAACAGAAAGCTTCTCATGCCCAGCGGGTGTTGAGTTACCCGTCGTCTCCGGGAACTCGCGACTGTAACCAAGCAATCTAGACACCAAGCAGGCCTGTCGGGCCGCTTCGAGGATACTGGGGCTGTACCCGCCGCTCACATCCGTGCCTAGGCCAACCGTTAGGCCCTCATCAAGCATGATCCGGACAGGAGCAAGTCCAGAGCCCAAGGCGGAGTTTGACGCTGGGCAGTGCGCGATCTTAGAGTTGCGCTCACGGATAAGATTCCGCTCGTCGTGGGTTAGATGCACCCCGTGCGCGAGGATGGTACGAGAGGTAAGTAGGTGGGCCTTATCGTAGACGTCGGCGTAGCTGGTTGCGTCCGGGAAGAGTCGGTGGACGAGGTCAACCTCATCTGTAGTCTCGGAAATATGTGTTTGGATGTGGAGAGGCGGGTTGTAGGATGCCGCTAGTTTGCCGAGGCTATCAAGGGAGTAATTGGAGCAGCTCGGGGCGAACCTAGGCGTGATAATTGGGTTAATCAATGTTCCCCTTGGGTCTAGAGTGCGGATGTAATCTATTGTCGATTTTGTTGCGTGGAGGCCCTCGTCGGCAGATTGGTCGACGTAGTAAGGTGGGCATTGATCGCGGTTATCCATACAGACACGGCCAATGAAGGCACGTTGGCCGTGGGTGTGGCAGAGCGCTGCGAGGGCGTTTGTGGCCGCGACGTGGATGGTGGCGAAGTAAGATGCGCATGTCGTGCCGTGGGCAAGAGTGCGTACGACAACTTGATCATAGACACGCAGACCATCGGGAGGCGTGTTTTTGGGGTCTTTGTCTTGGTTGTTTGGGTCTGTCTTGGAGCCAAAGCTAGCTTCTACTGGGAATGTGTATTCATTCAGCCAGTCCAGGAGGCCTGCTGACCCAAAAAGACCAATGTTGGGAAGCTGCGGCGCGTGGATGTGGGTGTCTACAAGGTCAGTGCTGGGTAGATCATCAGCAAGGGAGATAGGATATACCGATGAATCCGGGAAAGAAGAACTCATTTTGTTCATCGTTAGACTCCACAACCCTGATTTTGGTGGATGAATCGGCATTGCCATTGGTTGTGGTATCGGCGTCAGTCCAGCCGTGGCGCGACAGGAACGATTGGAAACTGGCATCGTCATGGACTTGCCAATCATATCCCTTGATACGGCCATCTTCAGACGAAACCCACAGGGCACCTTGATTTCGAACGAGCTTCGGCTTTGCCGAACTCGAATTAAGCCGGGGAAGATGAATGAATGTACCGCGATAAACAGTGTATGGATATGCTACGACAATATTGCCGCAAGCATTAAGTAATGCAAGACACACCCACACTGCACACGACCCCACAGGCAATCTGCAAAAGTTCAGAATCATACTAAGGACGAATGCTGATCAATGCTCACAGCTTGGATCAGGCTACGTCTGGAGGATAGCGCTGATTGATATATCCTTATCGATGGTCCGGAAATGGAGAACCAGGATGGCGGTACCCGAAATGGCAGACACAGCAGGGCACCGCAGAGTGTGAAGGCTGCACCTGCTTGATTGAAGAAGCTCCTGGCGATCCCGAGTATTTTGGTCGGTGTTCGGCTATTTCCGACTGATTACGCAGGTAAAAGATGCGGGGATAAAGTATAGGAAGAGGAGGGGGGACTGATCAGCGGTGATGTTCAGTGAAAGAATTTGAACCGCAAGCAAATCAAGAGGGATGATATTGCAGACCACAGACCTGACATATATTGATATTCAGACGGGGCTTCCGCGCTGGGGTGAAGAAATATATCTATTATACTAATAAAAGGCTGGGGACCAAACTGTGAGTGTACTAGTAAACTTGCACTTTTTGTACGAAGGCCCAGGAATCTCCATATGGGGAACGGAACGAACTGGAGGTTTAGAACTTAAAGTTAGAACTACATACTAGTATATGGAATTGAAAGAACTAATGTACTCCCTGATAGAGAAGATATCAAACAAAGTACAAATAAATCAAAATACGTATGTGTCGGTGGGGAATCGTTCACTAAAAACCCTTTGTGTGAGATAAGGATGAATTCCTAGCCCTGCGGGAAAGATCAATCGACAGGACGTAGAACACCTTCGCCTTTGCAAGACGGTCCTAACCACCTAAATAATCTGTTGTAGCAAAATGACTCGGGTGGCACGAGGTTCGTGTCTAGGGAAGTCATGCGCCCGTGAACCAGTAGCCGCATTGGCCTGAAGCCCAAAGTAAAAATGGGATAGACATTTGAAGACTCCGAGAATTCACAGTTTCTGACAAGAGCCATCAATGAACGAAACCGTGTGAAACTGACTTGAGTCGTGACAAAATATCATCCTTTATGAAAGGGGACAACCAATAAACAAAAGGAGCATACAGCTTTCTTGTGGCAGATTAAAGCCTTACATTGCTGAATGTAACGACGTTCTGCTTTCAGGCCTATCGAGGACGTGGAAGAGGGGGCGAAAGCCAAAAGGCCATCCCATAGTAATCCTTATTGCGGATGCCGCCGCAAGCCGAGTCATTTTTGAAAGCAATCCTGCTAAACATAGGGGTGCAGGTGATCAGAGCGGGGAGGAAGGCTGCATCAAGTATAGAGAGTTACATTGAGCGTAATGAATGGTAACTAGTGAGCTGAATTGTCTTTTTGATTGCCACATAGCCTAAAATTCGGCACATGCTTCGGGTTGAGAGATTTATATGCAAACAAGATAATTGGACCTCACTGCAACCGGTTCGAGTTGTGCACCTTATCCTACGTGGTCAGCAGACTAGAGTTAATCAGTGTCCGTACCTCTAACATCACCGATTCGAGCAGCAGGGGGGATTTTGGACTTCCTCACGCTCACAGGCTTGAGCGACTTCGGCAGTCTTTTTGTATCTAGAGGACTCGAAGGCACTGAGCATTGATAGTAGGACAGCGCCTTTGGCAATAGTGGGTAGAATTTAACCTGTGGTGTCAAGTATATCTACACATCAGGGTAGAAGATCTTTAGAATGAGCACACAAATGGTAAAGCGGGCTGATAGAGCCCCTAGGGACTATATAGAGGCAGTGGCCCAGGCCACTGCTTAGGCACATGTGTCTGTCTTAGCCAACTGCTCGATATGGATGCTAAACTTGATTAATAATAATAATAAGGGTAGAAGACCGGTTAACCAGATAAGGATATATAGGCTAAAATAGGTAGAAAGATTAAAGGTAAATAGTAAACACCATTAAGATAGAAGGTTAATTTTTGGCTTTATATACTATTAAGAATTTATTAATCTATAATGATCTCGCTAACCTGGGTCCAGTTTAGACACCCAATTAGAAAGCTGGCTACATACCGCAAAACTATCAAATATATATTAGAGATTAATAGTATGCGAGTCTTTGCTATACTACTCCGTACTTCGACACGCGGAGTCTCGATCTGAATTATTCACACTGCAGTCCTGTAGCAAACTTCAGTGTATAAACTACCGTACGAGCCCATATCGATGAGTCCCAAACTATTTACAAAGCTCTGGTTGATATACGGCACGAATCCATTTATTGGGTCAGGATCGGAGAAGAGTTTGAAGCGGCCTAGAATACTTTCCTCTTTCTAAGCTTTGATTAGCCGGTAAGAATTACCAGAGTCCTCTATAAACATAGATATACATAAAAACGAAAGAGCGATATGTCCTAGTGTCCTCGAAAAGGATGAGGAGGATATTCTACTTATAGTAGACTGGAAAGGTTGATAAGCAAAGATAAACAAATATAAAGACAAGAGAGTAGAGACTAGAACCAACCGATGATATAATGGCGAAGCGGCTGTCAAGATCCTGTGTCCTTATATGTTTACCGAGTTCACTAATTGGACGGCCAGTATTTTTGGTCAGATTGTAGGATTGAAATGAAGCTTTTGTTCCGCCTTTATATTCTTCTCTCTTCTCCCGCGCCAGATATATATTTCCAGTCCTATGCCATATCGTCCTTTATTACGTTTCTATATTCCTGTCTACCAGCTCTAAGTTCTAACAAAGAAAGTAAATAAAAGTAGAAAGTTCGCCTTGCAACTACTCTTAGAAAATTTTAATTACATTGAAAATCTCTAAAGGAAAATGTAGATGGTGGGAGCTCGAACTGATCCTGAAGTTGCTATTGCAATTACGAGAGATAACATTCTCGTCGCCTAGGCCTCTATCGAAGACTAGTTAATGGCTGTTAGTACAAGTGCTGCTATTGTCACGGATCAAAACATCCTATTGTCCATCAAACAAGACAAAAAAGGTTCCCGAACAAGACCGTCGGCATCATGGTATAAAGTCATTGCAACCTAGTGGGGTACGCTTGAGCACTACCGACCCAACCTGTGTGACAGACTATAGCCCTTTATGGATTTGTCTACATTTGCATTGTAATTACGCTGTGCACGGTATACCGATTTACAAAAGTTTTGTTTTCCTAGACCAGATATGCGAACAATAGCAAGCCCTGCCTCCTCTTGTTTCATTTCGATCCAATGGGCAGAGTTTGTTCAATGAAGGACCCTTTTTTCATGCAGATAGAGGAAGACATATTATCTATACATTCAGGCGATGATGGTCTTGGTGAATAAACAATAGCTAAAAGTAGCCTCAGATGTGGCTCTGAAGCCAAGAATACGAACCGAGGCACATGGAAAGTAAGAAGGATCAACAGTACTTCGAGACAACTTATAGATGTTGCTGTGGCTACTCCCCAAACTCCTAATCGAAAGATGATGCCAAGGCCAAACCTCCATGGACTTAGCATTAGTGCTTAGAACTGGGGTTTAGCTCAACCCCTTGAAGACTAGGCGGCTGATGGCCAGGCGGACAATTGGTTCTACCGAGTAGTTCGCAATGATTCTACTCCCCTAATTGGCACGATTTCCCAGATGAATGGCTTCAATCTTGGCAGAACTACCGGCTGATTTGGGGCTCAGCAATCCGGCGGTCATGACTTTTTACTTATATTGGATGGAAATACCTTAACTTACTATCCAGACCCACTGTGTCAAGTTTGTTGCAATGTTACTGTAATTTGATATGTGTTTACTCGATCTACTTTCGATCCGACATGCTGCTACAATACTTACGGAACGCTTCTCCTCTTGCTTCCCGCTCGCGGACCAATCACTGGACGAAAAGTGGCATCGTAATAGGAACGATCCAGGAGATTCAGGGTAATCCGAGGGTCGTTTATCATCACTCAAGATCATGTAAGCTCAACTAATTACCAGGCTAACGCCATTGGAAGATTGCTCTGGGATATCCAACATTTGTATCCAGTTATGAGCTAAAGACATTGCAACAGCTCAGAGGTTCCTGGTATTATGTTCCAAAATGGTACGGTGGTCCACTCGACGCAGAGCGAAAGGATGGCATGAATGTGGCCAACGTAGTCATGGAGGCTGGCGTGCAATACCAACTACTTGTAGCTACTGAATCCAACGACAAAAGGGCTGGCAACCTTGGGAATGCCGATTTCTTGTTACTGGTCTTCACTCCGGCCGAAATAGCTTCATCTCGCTGACCGAATTAGCCCGTACCTGCCTACAATTCGCTCAATTCCATGATTTTTTCCCCATGGCCCTCTCTTTACTACCGTTGGCTACACACTATCCACATATCCCTTATCGGTATACCTTGGGATTTTCGTGAGGGGTCATTCTGTCTCTGCCTTTTCATATCGAAGTGGCGACTGTGGGAAATCCACACCATTCCAGCCTTGGTAAAGGTGTTTCACGAAGTGATCTCGTAGAGTCCGAAATTCAGTTACAGGGGTTGCCTTCAGTATCGACACTACTGTACATACGAGGACAGAAGAAGATAAACTATGTCTTGGACCAAGTTGTTCCCGAAAATGATCCGCCTCCCGAAGAATTCTTCAGTCCCGATAAGATAGCAAGGCGCCACCGCCACAAGTTGCCGCTTGTTCTGTCCGACCTCGGGCTCACGAAGAAAGACCGGAGCGGAGGATCAGTACCGGGTTTAGTCAACGGCGTTTTCTCAAACGCCAATAGCAGGCAAGGAACTGACAACCACTGCCAATAGTATTCCAGCTACAGGTGGAGTCGATGCGACGCCCATCACGCCCGCCATAACTGCTCACCAAGGGTCACTGGTGGATGCGAAGTATGCAACTGGCGTGTTCTATACGCTCGGATGTGGCGGGTTTAGTCGACTGGGTGTCATGTTTCCCACAAAAGGCACCTGGATATTTCATAGTTGTCCAGAAACATCTCCAAAGTGCTCGGGGCAAGAGGTTACATCGCCATGAGCTGTGTGGGCTGTCACGTATGGCGGGTGAGATGAGAATTAGTGTGACAAAATATATGGGGGAGGATTCAGCACGCAATATGAACTTGGCGCAGGATCCTCTGGGTTAATAACCTAATTCAGGCGTGGACATGAGGATTGAATGGGTGCCGACGTACCTGCCTATGTCCTTCTAGAAAGGCCTCAAAAAAGTCTATTTGAAGCCAGAACCGACCCAACAAATCCTCCCTCCCAGACTTATTTTTGAATTAGTACGAGGTTTAAATGGCAATCCTTGTAAACCTTAAATCATTCAATATCGATCTGGTCTGGTTCAAGAAACAGATTACAGTACATATATTAGACCATACCACTGCAACTCCGCCTCGACGGTGGATTACGTCTGGGGAGCAACGTTGTCCCCCCGCAAGAAGTTAGGCAAACATTAGGAAAATATGGAGAATATCATTTAAAATGTCTCATGGGCCCATGGTAGTGGCCCAGTATGGAGCGGTGGTGGGTTCTGGAGCCCATTCTGTAGACCCACATATCACTAGCATCCCCCGTTGAGTTGCTGGGGGCAATTGCAGTTATGTAACAAGAACAGCAAAATGCTGCAACAATCGTACTACTCCGCACTGGAGATGAGCTACTGCGGTTTCAGTCGAGATTGCTCCAAATACCCCAGGATCCACCGTATGATGGGAATGGTACCCCCGGCTTACCCGCCTTCTTTTCTTCTACTCTTTCTCCACGCTTCCCTGACCCTATCCACCCTTCCATCTCTCTCGGATCCTGATTTTATATACTGCACTCTCTTCTTCTGATCCCATTGCTCTTCGTCCGAGTCGCTCAGAGCAGACACCATGGATGTTTTACCAGCATACCCCAATACTCAGGAGATGGACAAGAAGGAGGATGAATACGATGCGGATGCTGAAAAGAGGGATATCATGGCTGGTCAAGTTCAGGATGCATTCGGAAGTGAAGAGGACGCTGAGATCAAGTACAAGACCTTGAACTGGTGGTATGTATCCCGTCTCCCTCCAAGGCTTATCCAAGGCTAAGAAATGACTAGGCAATGTGGCTTGCGTAAGTCCCTTGGTCATGCACCCAAGGCTATCACTGATTGCTAGGTAGTTATGATTTGTGAATCTGTTTCCCTGGGTGTGTTGTCTCTGCCAGCGGCCGTGGCTACCTTGGGTCTCGTCCCGTAAGTATTACGAGAAAGGGAGATACGCATCTGGTGACTGACGGTGAACTAGAGGTGTTATCTTGATTGTTGGTCTCGGCCTTCTCGCCTTGTACACGGGCTACAATATTGGATTATTTCGCGAGCGGTATCCTCATATTCAGAGTCTGGCAGATGCCGGAGAAATCCTGCTCGGCCGCTTTGGGCGTGAGCTCTTCGGTCTAGGTCAATTTCTGTTTTGCATTTTTGTCATGGGAAGCCATATTTTGACCTTCCGTGTCATGATGAACACCATCACTGAGCATGGCACCTGTTCGATCGTCTTTAGTGTGGTAGGTATGCTCATTTCGATGGTGCTGTCTATCCCGCGAACGATGAAAGGAATGACGTGGGTTTCATTCGCCTCGTTCCTCAGTATTTTCGGTGCTGTCATGATTACCATGATCTCTGTGGCCGTGCAGGATCACCCTGCCCGGGTCATTAATGCCACGGTAGAGACGAATCTCTACACGGGGTTCCAGGCAGTGTCCAATATCGTCTTTGCCTACTGCGCCCATGTAGCCTTCTTTGGTCTGATCGCTGAAATGGAGAATCCTAAGGATTTCAACAAGTCCTTACTCATGTTGCAGTCATTTGAGATCTGCTTGTACCTCACTGCCGCTGTTGTCATCTACTACTATGTTGGCACCGACGTTCATTCTCCTGCCTTGACCTCCGCTGGACCAGTGATGAAAAAGGTTGCCTACGGCATTGCTATTCCAACGGTACGAACTGATTAACCTGGCTCATCGAATATTGCTGACCCGAACCAGATTGTGGGTGCAGGTGTTGTAAATGGCCACATCGGTCTGAAGTATATTTATTTCCGGGCGTGCCGCAAGTCAGACCTACTGCACAGTCGCAGCTGGAAGTCCGTCGGCATCTGGCTCGCGCTAGGCTTGACCTGTTGGGTTGTGGCGTGGATCATTTCTGAGGGTATTCCCGTCTTCAGCAATCTAAACAGCCTGATTGTAAGTCACCCCTTCATCTAAATTCCTAACAAACAGAGCTAACGCCTCTCCAGAGCGCCCTCTTCGCCAGCTGGTTCAGTTATGGGCTGAGTGGAATTTACTGGTTGCATTTGAACTATGGCCAATGGTTTTCCAGCCCAAGTAAAATTTTGTTGACTATGCTCAACATTGGAATTGCACTGATTGGACTTATCCTATGTGTACTGGGTTTATATGCCTCTGGGACTGCTATTCATAATGATGCAAGCAGTAGCGTTTTTACCTGCGCCAACACTGATACTTAGTGGCCTGGTTAAAGCTCTACGGTGACTCGAGTGGGCAACTGGATGTTGCATCTTTGACAGCTTGAGTGCATTGCACACGGTATTACTGGGGAATAGATAATTAGTCATGATATATGTGAGAAAACGTTTTTTTTTTTTTTTGGAACACTGCTCTACGATGTAAATACAAGAAATAAATATTATATACCTTTATATCTACAAAGCCAAATTAGGCGATCTTTCAACTCGGGTCACCATCTGATTGTATCGACCGATTGATATTCAATGTTGATCAGGCATGTTTGCGACCTTTTCTAAATTAGAGCCAGTCGTTTAGGTAGAAAAGCAAGAAAGCATTTCACAATCACAACTATGCTAGAGGTACGGGATTATTTAATTGTATATTCTTTCAAATTTACAACTATCAGAATGCGATAGACACCTTCTATTGATCGAGTATTCACAAGGTTTCCAATTTATTTATTAAATACAGAAAGCTCAAATATAACGTATCTCGAAACCCTACTTAAGCCTAGTATTTAGCGTTTCTGAAATCTTGTAACCGAAAGATCGTTGAGAATCCATTCCAGGAAGAGGCGTTACAGTTCTGAGTAAGACACTACTACTAACTTTACTGGTAACGCAGTTATGTATAATGAGGCATTTTAAACTAATGGGCCAACAGTTTTGAATAGTTTCAGTCCTGCTAAAAAAAGGCAAGCCAAAGAATTTATATTACGCGAAAAGTAATAAAAATTTCTAATTTGGGGATAGGTTAACCCTCTTTAATAGGACACAGCCACTAAATAGTAGTGTGAACTTTATAATCTTGCTTCGCCAAGAGGACTCTGGATATTGAAGCAGTTTGGTGTTTGAGGATTTACTAGAATGATATGCGAAGTCAAAACACATGATTTGAGATATAAATCGCAAAGTCTTCTAATGTCTATCTTTCTATTCATCTAGGCTTTCTATTTCCCTCTCTTTTTTATTTTCTTGTCGCATAAATGCCGCTAGGCCAAAAAAAAAAATACTCAACGAGTAGGATTGAACGAATGATGAGCTATTCCATTTTATTATATATATTTCTATCCTTTCAGTCACCTGGATTCAAGGATAGTTCATACAGGCCTCGCCATAATCTGCGGTTATTAAACAAAATAAATATGCAAAAGCTATAACCTTAGAGCTTTAACTATATGGAGCTCATTCTTACTTACTATTGTCAGAGCCTATAGGGAGCCTAAGGTGGCAACCACGTGACCTGGCCACAACACCAAGGAATCTCTGTAAAGTAGATTTAGACCTCAAGACAATCAATCCCATACACGTGAGCTACACCAGCTCTATCATTTATTATCCAGATCTCTGTTTTCTGTGATAGGACTGGCATCTACTTATTATATATATATAGTCCGCTGACTGTCGATATTGTATATACAAGGCTCTGATATTATTAGCAGGTCATAACGTATCCCGTAAGAGAGTCGGTCACTCCATGCGTTTTGACTCCGGTCGGGAAATCTCACTCAATTTAACCATCTACCATGCCTCGGAAAGCGCGTAAAAATTGAAGAAATTCAACTGAGCAAGAGGGAAGGCTGCTACTTGCTATTTCCGCTCTCGAAAATTAAAATATATTTAATATTCGTGAAGCAGCATGTGTTTATAATGTTCCTCGCACTATCTTGCAAGATAATATCAACACTTGACGAAGGTCGTATGAACTTGAGCGACTGATATGCTGATCCATTCAATGTATTTTATAGGATGTGCTTGCGAAGATCATCCTGACGTTGGTGATGTGGAATTGTAAGTATACACTAAACCGGCCATACCTCTTTTAGGTAAGCTAAGGAATTATAGGGCCTAAGGAATCCTCCTGGAAAACAATCTCCAAGTCTGGGGAAAACGGGTGTTTGCCGTTAAATCAATAAAGCTTTTAAAATTTTGATTTATTAATAAAAATGAGACAAGGTGTGCACGAGAACCTGGCATATTCACACCAAGTGCCTACTCATCAAGATTAATGGTATAACACTGATTACAATGACAGATGCGACGGATCTCCAGTATTCCATCCCGCCCCAGAAGCCTCTCAAGGTTCTTATTGTGGGCTGTGGAATTAGCGGGTTAACGACAGCCCTTGGATTGAAGTTATCCGGCCATGGGGTAACGATCTTCGAGCAGGCTAGCACGCTGACAGAGGTGGGAGCAGGAATCCAGTTAGCACCCAGTGCGTCTAGGATCCTACGTCGCTTAGGCGTATTGGTGGAAGTGACGAGGAAGTCGAACATATTGGAGCAAAATTCTCTGCGACGATACCAAGATAACCAGGAGCTGGGGAAGGCATTTCTCATGCCATAGGTTTATCTACCTGCACTTTAAGTCGATTATGCGTGGGCTATAACTAATTCTAGGCTGAGGAGAAATATTATGCGCCTCTGGCTGTAATCCATCGTGGAGATCTTTTGGATATTCTGGTGAGGAAAGTGAAGGGCCTGGGAGTAAGTATACTCTTGAATGCGAGAGTTGAGGCTATCGACCCCGAATTCGAGGCCCGGATCCAAATACACCCCAAAGAGTGGGTGGTTGGTGATGTTGCCATCGCCTGTTAGTTCCCGCTGAAGTTATGAAAAGCAACCCCATCACGTCCGACCTCATCCAGCAAAATATCGGAATGAGATGGATGGGACCCGGAGGACACATAATGGCTTATCCCATCAAGAGAAACACATTCTACAACATGGTCCTGGTCCACCCGCAGACGGTTAGTGGGGAAAGGAAAGACGAAGCTTGGACAAGGGTTGGAAGCGAGCACCAAATGCAGCATATCTACCAGGGTTGGAACGAAGTCATTCAGATGCTGCTGTTCTTGGTTCCAGAGCAAGAGATAGTTAAGCGGAGTTTGCACACTCATTCGCCCCTTTCACACTGGTTCCAGAACAAATGTGTTCTGGCAGGAGATGCATGCCACCCTGTGTGGCCGTATGTGGCCCAGGGAGCGGCCCAGGCCGTGGAAGATGCAGCCGCTTTAACGTTATGCCTCTCTCTTACTCAAGATATCCCCACCGCGTTCAGAGAGTACGAGCTCCATCGCAAGGACCGGGCGGAGAGAATACAGCACAGCGCTACCGCTACAAGGGAAGTGCTCCATTTGCCTGACGGGGAGGCGCAGCGTCAACGTGATGCAGCTCTGAGTGGTCATACCGACAACCCTGCGGAGGGCGATACTACCAAGATGTCAGACAATAACAGAGACACTTCATTCGTTGTATGAGCAAACTTTGTTATAAACTAGTTTATATACTTACCAGACTAGTCAATGTAGGGACCAATCGTTCACGGTGCGCGGTACCTGTTGTTCAGGCCTCTTCACCTTAGCATGGCACACGCTGACGACGATCACTCAATAACCACCTAATATGCCCTGTTCCAGTCATACAATTGACGCATCCTGATTCATATTTAGCCCGGGAACATGGGTGGTTTCTATGAAATGTGCTGTACATGTATATGCAATCTTGAAAAATTCGCGTCTCTGCCGCCCCTTTCCCTGTCTCTCCATGATGATCGCGAATCGACAAGAATATTCCGGTAATGTAATATCACGCAGAAGTCAACCTTGTGCTGTAAAGTATTTGTGATCAAAGCGAATCAACTTCCGGGTACCATGGATGATTATTGCAGCGGCTTGACAAAAGTATGGTTATCCAAGACTATATATTCCCAGACACCAGTGCAGTCCCACATCAACTTTCCTGGTGCAAATATACACTCCTCTTAAAGTTGTCTTACATTGATTCTTATTTATATCACCATTGAGACCATGCTTAACAAACTCGATTCATATTCTAACGGGGCCCAGGCTCGGAAGTCCGAGACAACTAGTCATTTCAATGACGTTGCTTGCTTCCCCTGGCAACCCGAAGGATACACGAATGCGGTGCAGTCAGTCTGGCGGTCATTGCAGATGATCTTGGATAAAGGGTGCTCCATTACTCTGGATGGCGTATCACTCAATCTGAGCTCTATAGTAGCAGTGGCGAAGCAAGTGAGCCTTTCATTATATGGAATCTAAGATTAATAGATAGTAGATACGGTATCGAGTCCCGAGTGGCCAGTGACAGCAATATTGCAGAAAGTTTGCCCCGTAGTGTTGCTCTACTGGATGCGAAGCTAAACCAAGGCATAGTCATATTTGGAGTCAACACAGGATTCGGCGGAAGCGCCGATACACGGTCCAAGCAACACGAAGCCTTGCAACTGGCATTGCTCCAGCATCATCAAGCCGGCGTGCTGCTGCTCAGTGACGGTGGAACTCCAAGCACCATCATAATGGGGGTTTTGGGACCCCACAATGTTCCTTTTCCCATTGTTCGAGCTTCAATGTTAGCACGCTGCAATTCTCTTCTTCGCGGCCATTTGGGTGTTTGTATCGAAGTGATTGAGCGTATCTTGGATCCCCTTAGGTGTCAGATGACTCTGATTGTCCCGTTTCGTGCAACATCTCCGCCTCGGGGGATTTGACGCCCATGGCTTACATTGCAGGTGTCCTTGAGGGAAATCCTGATATACATGTCCACTGCGGCGATGGCCAAATCCCTGAAGTCGTTCCTGCTGATCAAGCTTTGCAACGCGTTGGTCTGACCCCTCTACGGCTTGGCCCTAAGGAAGGACTGGGGCTCCTAAATGGGACCTCGTTTAGCTGCGGTGCTGCTAGCTTAGTCCTGATCGAGGCAAACCAGCTGGCCTTGCCGAGCCAGGTCCTCACGGCCATGGGTACAGAAGCATTGTCAGGTTCACGAGGCAATTTCCACTCCTTCATAGCTAATGTGCGCCCGCATCCGGGGCAAAAGGAGGTTGCATCAAACATCTATGCGCTGCTAGCAGATTCCAAATTGATCTCAGGCGCTCTTCCGAAGCGGTCTGGCTTAGCTCAGGATCGATAATCATTACGGACTGCATCCCAGCGGCTTAGACCACAAATTGAAAACCTCGCGCTAGCTATGTCTCAAATTCAATGTGAATTGAATTCAACGACTGATAATCCTGTATTTGATCCAGAGCATGGCGAGGCACACCACGGCGGTAATTTCCGGGCCATGGCAATCACGTCGGCCGTAGAAAAAATCATGGCTGCCATGCAATATGATCGGCAAGATGATCTTTAGTCAATGCTCTGAAGTTCTTAATCCTGTGTTGAGCCATGGACTTTCACCAAATTTATGTGCTGATGATCCCAGCTTGTCCTTTGCCTTGAAAGGCGTCGATATCAACATGGCCTCATATATGTCTGAATTAGCCTACCTCACCCATCCAGTGAGTAGCCATGTGCAGTCGACAGAGATACATAATCAGAGTCTCAACTCGCTTGCCTTCATTGCTGCCCGGTATGCGGCCGAGTCAATAGAGGTGCTGTCCCTAATGCCTGCCACCTATCTGTACGTGCTCTGTCAGGCACTAGACTGCGCGCCTTACACCTTGAACTCGCTCATCGAGCCCGGTCGCAGGTTTTCTGTCTTCTTTCAGAGCAATTACGGCATTCCATTCAGCATGAGCAGTTGTATCCTATCCAGACCGCCGTCTGGGATGAGCTCATGAGCCATTGGGTTCAAGGTAGCACAAAAGACCTGTCAGCGCGGAGTCAGGCTGCCGCCGCTGCTTCGAGTGTGGTCCTGCTGGATCTAGTCTCCAGCCATTGCGGAAAGGATATTGCCACTCGGCTCGACCTCGCACGCATTATCATCCCGTTCAAAGAAAAGGCGAGTAATATACTGTATCAGAACTACACGGCCACTCGAGAGGAATTTTTCTGTGTCCCTGCTACTGCAGATCATTTGTGCGGAGCGTCAAGTCGTTTCTACAGACTCGTTCGACGCACGCTGGCAGTGCCCATGAATAGGGGGCTAGCAGATCATCCCACCTATGACTCAGACAAGGACCCAAGGGCCACGAAGACAATCGGCTCACACATTAGCACCATCTACACAGAGCTGCGACAAGGGGGCATGACGGATGCCGTAGTAAACTGCTGGGAGAGCCTCTGATTGGGAATACAATCCTGTACGCCCAGGGGTGTATATATATGTGTGTGTGCGTGGGTTGGAAAGTATAAAAACCAATCCCTGTGCTCTTTATCAAATTACAGAAATCGTTGGTGTTGAAAATACTTTGAACAATCTTTCACCGGCCCATCGCGGGCGGAATACGGGACACCGCAGACGTAATGCGCTATGAAGGTTATCAACTAAATGAACATATGTGCTACTGGTAGTTATGGGTTGATTGGTTAGAATGTGGTGTCAGACTCAAATCAAATGAACCAAATAATATGCACACGAGGATCTATAGTCGTATTAGTCTAATAGTCTATAGATGCGTGGAGCAGTGATCTCCCTTATTGTCACCCTGTGGCAGCCACAATATTCCAGAATATCTTATATAAAGAATAGTATATCGCAGAAATATTATACTAATATAATCATCACACGAAACTTCACCGTCTAATATAAGGGTTATTTAATACCTGGGAAAACTAGCCTCCCCAGCACTAGATAAAGTTGGACTTACAAATACAAAATATTTCCTCCCTTAATTCTGTAAGCTTAGCTAGATAATTATAATTGCCCTCTGTGGGTTTACAGTACAGAATGGTGTCACTGCCAACGGGTAGAGACAGGGCGGGGGTTGTTCGACCCCGAATCGGCTCGCAGATCAGCCTCTACCCCGTGGAGCGTAGGGACAACCTATATATAAGCTGTTGTCTACCTCCCGCAAGTCACCGGCTAAGACTTTCATACGGCCACCAGTGCCTGCAATGACCTCATCTCCGCTGCCTAGGCCATCCTCCCCTGACCACCACTGCGCACCTCGTCTCCCCCACCTCCGAATGAGCGAACATATTTCACCTGCTGCCGCCTTCCACCTGATTGGGGACGCTCTCGATGTCTCCAGCACGAGAGCATTTACTCGAGCGACTTGCCCAAACATGACTCGAACCTTAGTAATGGGGTAATAGATTATTTTGCACGCAAGCTTTACCGAGTTGAATAGACGTGAACTTTCCGCCTACGGGTGGCCATATATCAAGCGGCTTCCTCGGGTTAGAGGCCGGGTTCTGTTTATTGTTAGGAGTACCAACACATGGTCTCTCATAGAGTTCTATCTTCCCGGATTTAAGATTCTGGCTATAGACCGGACCTTTCCTTCATAACCCCGAATGGAAGGCTTGGAAGGATTCATGCCTTTTCTCAGGTCGGGGCGCAGAATTACAATACAAAACAGAGGAAACAGGGCAAGGGCCGAGATAAATCGAGGGGTGCGGTTAAGTCATTAGGCCTAAAATCAGCAATTAGCAGTGGTTCCAATCAAGTAAGGATTCAGTTATAGCATGTATTAAAATATCACTTCAACCCCTCATTAATACATGACGGTGTAGATTTATGCCAGATACTAACTCTCCACGGCCACAAATATACAGCCTCCGCATTTGAACAAAGTCATAGGGAAAACCCATATTGAGGTATGTAACACTACTACCAATCTCTAGTACCAGGTACCCTTCTGAAGGCAATATGAGTTTCTATACCCCTAATACGAGTTGTAGCTTGAATTTCGTCCTTAGAGTTGATGGTGCCCCAGAAGTCATAACCTTCCCATCCAGCACCCTTGCGACTGGACAAGCCGAACCGCGTAGGTGTGCTGGGCGTCAGTTTTATATGACCCAATCTGGCCTCAGGCTTATTCTGTGCTCCGTAATAGTCCTTTGTCCATCTCCATGAGAAGGTCACTCGTGCTCCGTTGTAAAATCAGTGCGGAATGTCAAGATAAATATCCTCGCCCTTAGGGGCATATTGGGCATCTGTGATCCTACCCTTAAACTTAGCAGCATGGAAATGATGTACGCCCTTTGCCCGGCTCTCAAAGACTTTGCTCTTTAGTTGGCCCCTAGACCCCTCGGCGATGATCACATATCCACTTTGTTGATCCAACTGCTTGCTGGTACTGTTGACATGATGCTTGCTCCCAGCGAAGATATCGATCATCTTATCGGTGAACAACTCAGCGAATGTGTGCAGAAGGGCTACTTCTGCTGGTTGAGCAATCTCATCCACGAGAATGACATCGCGAATGGAGCTCTCAAGAAAGTTGGCGACCGACTGTCAGTGGTGTTTCCAGCCGCGCTCGCTGTACGCAGCAGCGGCTTGTTCAAGAGAGTATACGGTGCCGACCAATGGGATATATTCGACGATGGAGTAGGCGACGTCTTCAAGCTCTGTGAAGAACTGGTTGATCTGTTAGACAAAATAAAGTCCTAAGGCTCAGGGATCTCACGTACAGATTCTGCTAGGGCAAAGGGAAAACAACACAGAGCTAGGTGAGCGACACGCATATTGTCTAGAGATCAAGGTATGCTGCGTGATGAATCTTGCCTTAGGTTTTGCATATCAGAAGCAATATTGGCCTGGGCAAATGGTAGTACTTATAGTTCTTCCAAAAAGCAACTGCGAGATGGAAAGCTGGTAGCAGGACTTCGCTTGCCTCACTTGCAGCCTGACATATTTCGGAATCCAGTCGTGGAAAATACCTTATATGCTAGCTCAAGTGTAGTAGAAGTAGTTCTATTACTTACTACAGTCTGATATAGTATAGCTCTTTTCCTTGCTATACGGGACCTTCTAATGAAATCTGGTACAGTTCCGGAAAGAACCTGGATCTAGATTAGATTTCTATACACAAGACGGGTACCTGTTACAGACCTGTTGGGTAGACCCCACTTTATCCATTTCCTTCCAGTTTGAAGTTAAATGATGTGTTTCACTACCAGTATACTTTCTACTATCTGTAACTCCAGCCTATTATTTCTCTCTGATTCACAGTGTTGTGCGAGGCGCAAAGGGAGGGCCATCTTTAGCAGCTAGTACAGAGTAGTCAGACACTGAACCAAGAGTCTAGAATCTGTTCGAGACATTCGAGAACGTTTGTAAAATACAAAATATAGCGCCCTCTACATGGTATTCTTAATTGCATGGAAGACAGGTTCTGCGTGGCCAGCCGTTAATGAAATACCGTGGGTCACGACCGGAACGGCCACACAACCGGACCGGCCTCCTCCATATGTCCCTCTGGCTCTGAACGTGCCCACATTGGATCAGTCCTCCTCGGTGCACATTCCTTGCGACACCAATACCGAATAGTGCTACCAGATCAGTGTCATCAACGGCACCAATATGTACATTATCCACGCACAAGGAGTACGGTTCACTGTCTCAGATGCCGTGAATGGTACCAGCTGTTCTGGCCCTACCTTCCAGCCATCTCTTTCCACCTGCGATCCCACTGCTGCAAAATCAACCGTTTATATCACGGTGAGACCTACCGGTTCCAGCTCTTATCTCTTTTGTCACTCCTCGCACGGCTTTTGTAGAGAACTCGGGGGAAGAGCTTGGTCTTCGGCATAGGAGGGCTGCATTGTAGATGCACTGACTACACACCAAGTAGGCCAGGATCTAAGGTTGTGTCATCTTCTAAGGCCGTGGCATCTTGAGGCTCTGCATCTGGTCTATATAGTGGCATAGGGGGGTCAGCTGGGAGGGTTAAGAAAATGGCTATTTCAGGGGACCCTTAGTAGGAAGGCGGTATAACGAGGTATGTAACTAGTTGCAGGGTTGTTTCATTTCTAGAATGGATTTTGTTTTATTAAATATAGTTAAGGGTGGTTTTATATATATTTATCCATGCTAATAATAACTGCCAGTCAGTCTACTTTATTTCTGCAGTATTGTTTAGCGGAACTGCTTTAAGGTGATCGAGAAGCTGGTTTAGGCCAAGCTGGATAATATATAGAAGATATAGAGTTTAAGATTAATATTATTAGATAAGGGCTGCTGCAGAGAATTAACTAATGTTTTATTATTTAATATATTATTAGTTATTATTCTAAAAACTCAGTCCTGAATTTGAAGCTCTATAAGTATTTCAAGAAGAACACTACTTAGTTTTAAGTCTGTATATAATCTATAAAGAGACTTAGATCCAAAGAAGTTCTTCCTGATATATCTAGCCTATATCAATAAAATACACGAACATCACCTGGCTGACAACAACCTGCCAACAAGAATACTGTCGAAGACATGCGTAACGAAACACCAAGCACTGATCCGCAAACGTTTGACCGCGTTGACGGAAACCTAAAATTCTACAGACATCCGCTTGATCAAATTTTCAAAGTTTATTTACGGGCGAAGACCCAGCAACAGTGGCTGGTATGGTTTCTATTATATGCTGTGGTGAACCATGTCAAAAATTCTTGCTGGCAATATCCTATTTGCAGAGCGAAAACGACAATCTAGTGTAAAAAGAGGCAACATGGAAATACGCTGGCTGCCAGTGCCAGCAGCTCGTCTTTGATGATATCATGGTGTTGTTCACATTCTCACTTAGTCTACTCGAGCAGCAGCACTGTTCTCCAACCATGACCTCCGTACGGTTCTCCCCAAATGATTGAAGCGGGTGAGGAATGTGACCGCTCTTCACGCTTGCAGTGTTCATAGCCAGACTTTATTCTCAAGGACCACTTTCGGAACCCCACGTGTTACACCGAATGAAGCATTCAAGGAACAAAATTCTATAGCCAGCAAGAGCAAGGGTATGGGTATTAGCTTACACTATGCTTGAATGTACGTCGTGCGAAAACATGGTGGAATCAAGACGACGCAGGTGAGAGGGTGGTCGGTGCGAGCAGACGGCAAGTGGAGGTCGAGGTAGCTAGACGGCACCAAAGGCTTGTGGGGCGTTCTGCATGACATGGTAATGGGGGTACTTAACCTTGGCACGTCTATGCCCTGCTCATGTACCGGACTAAGAATTACTGTGTAGAACTTACTGGTGAAATGGGCTATCCTGGGCATATTTATAGTTGACCTTGCCTTCTTCCATTTGGCTGAGCGTTATACTGCTACTTTATCTTTTAAGCCTCATATCCTACCCCTCCACTGCTGAGTAGAAGTTCAAATTCTAAAAGCACTACATGTCGTCTCAAACACCAGAAATTATCGCTGCTATTAATGCAGTTCGACTTGAAGCATTTGGAAGCAATGAAGTTGAACGTCTACAGGTTCGCGCTGCGGCGCGTCGGTTGCTTGCTCGGGTGGAAACACCATATGAGCGGGCTCGGGGTTTCTCCTTGGAGCACCCCTTGGTCTTTGCCGCGCTGCAGACATGCATTGACCTGGGCATTTGGAAGTCCTGGACTGGTGCTGGAGGGGGTGAGAAGTCTATTCATGAGCTGGTTCAGTTAGCCACAGCCAGTGTCGATACAAACCTGCTGCGTAAGGCTCCATCTAGACCACAGCATGGCCGAGTAGTACATACTGAAGCTATACAGGTCGGCTCTTTCGCTTGCTAGCGGCTTTCAACGTGGTTGAGGAGAGCGCGGAAGACAGCTTTAAACCGACTGAGTTTTCTTTTGCGATCGGCGACGAGAGTACTAAAGTCCGCGCCTCGCTTCAAGCAGCGTAAGCATGGATTGTGCCATTAGTAGAACAGCAATACTAACATTTTCGTCGAGGGCAAATCAATACATTGCCGCTGCCCGGAATTTGCCTGCATATCTCGCCAAGATCGGGTACATGGAGCCCACAAATGCCAATGAGAACAACTACACGGATATTGACCCGGACGGCCTCACCTGCTTTGCCCGGCTGCAGAACAGTTCCTCCTACTTAGAAACTTTCATCGACCACATGGAAGCCGCTACGGCTCGAAAGACACCGTGGACGAAGGTTTACGACACTGCCAAGCTGCTAGAGGGTACCAAGCTGGAGGACGGCTCACCGTTCGTCGTTGATCTCGGTGGTAATACAGGGACGGACATTTCCCACGTTCTTGTGAGGCATCCCGACCTCCCTCAGGGGTCGCTAATCTTGCAGGACCTGCCAGAAATCATTTCAGGTCTGAAGGTTGATAGCAAGATTACAGCCATGGCTCATGACTTCTTCCTACCCCAGCCTGTGAAAGGTGAGAAACGTTCCCTTCCCCCCCCCCCCCCCCAATTAATATAGCCAGGGCTCGCTATTAATGCCAGATCTACAGGAAGTCGTGCTTACTTTCTGCATGCGGTTCTTCATGATTGGCCCGATGACAAGGCCATGCAACTGCTAGTGAACACGAGACATGCCATGGTCAAGGGCTACTCCAAGCTCTTCATCTACGATATGGTCATTCTGCCAACAGGGGCGAGTATCAGCCAAGCCACATTGGATGTGGAAATGATGGCTTTACTGTCTTCATCCGAGCGCACTCAGAGCGCGTGGGAGAAGCTTTTGGCAGATTCTGGATTCCGGATCATCAAATTTTGGCCCGATCCTCAGCGGTACGAGATGTTAATCGAAGCCGAGGTCGCGTAGGCTTTGGGACTTTGACTATTACCGAGGAGTGTACGAAGCAATATACTTTATGATTCATGGAACTTCTGTGGTCCAAAGAATGTTCCTCACGATATGTAGCCTGGGAAAATATGTTTTTTGTGGTTGCATACGCCATTTATCTGGACAACCACGCATCTCAGCGCACGGATGCCGAATATCCCTTACCTTTCCCTTGATATAGGATGCACTCTGCCTTTTCCTAAGCCCCATCTGGGTCGTAAATTTCATACTAAGCAAGGAAGGGGCCTTACTAGAAAACCAGAAGTCTGGCTTTACCTGCCACGTCATAAAGTGTCCCTCTCGTATTATCATCTGACTTCACAAGATGACAATCTGGTGTGTGTACTCCCGCTGCTTATTGGAAAACCACTGTCAAGAAAGTTGGAACCCATCTGACCTCTCCAGACTATTCATCGGTATTGTTACGACCTCCTTGGAGCCTTGGAATATTAATGCTCCGATATACCGAGGCAGCCCCGAAGTTGAAGAATGCCGAGGTTGTGTGGTGTATTTGTGTTTATATAATTCCAACTACTGTTAGTTATATATTGATATTTTCTATCTACCCATGAAGGCGAACTACCATTTATTTACATAACAAGACAGCCTGGAGACAACCGTATAGTAAACTTTCAAGAGCAGATTGGACAACCACTTCATTAACTGAGTGACTTACATGTCTCGAAGTAGTTAATATGTAAGGATATAAGCGATTCCTCATCCGACCGGATGCTTATGGTGAATGTAACCCAGATATCTGTATCTATGGTGGTCTTGCGTAACCCGACATAGTCGGTTTAAGGCTATTATAAGCTCTAGTCAGTGTTTGGGCGGTCCAGACCAAAACTATAATAAACACTTTAACGCATGAGCTGATTTAAGGTTTGCTATCAAGGTAAACTCAATTTAGCGTTTTATAGAAATTCCGCATTTGGTAGGAGAGTGAATATAAACGACCAACGTGTTCCCTGAGCCACGGAGCCACACCATAACGACCATATTCCGCAGCATAGAGCTGGAAAAGCCATCTCGATACTGTCGATTGAGTTTATGGGCCTTCCACGGTTAAGCATAGCTAGTACTTTCCCACTCTCGTGTCTAGCCGCTAAGTAGACAGTCCGGGCAGTACGTCACTTTCGACTTCCTCCATATCTCAGGAGCAACTCGACAACAGGCACATGATCACCTATAAAAGCCTTTCTTAGGGGTAGATTCTTTCGTGAATCATAGGCTTTGATATTCGGTATTATAGATTTGGGAACTTGTCATCAAAATAGAATGAACCTCCTTCCCATTCTCCGAGTGATCAATAATCAGAAGCAATAGTTCATCTGGAAGATCAAGAAAGGAATCAAGAAGAAGGAGGTAGTCTGACAAAGCCAATGCTTTCGTTTGTTTTCAGCTTTAAGTAATCTGTTTGAAACTTCGAAGATTGAAGGCTGGGAGATGTGTTTAGTGTCCCGATGCCAGGGAAAAGAAACGAGGAGAGGAGGGAGCTGTGAGTACCATGCCTCAAAGTAGGGAACTTCTACCCAAGTAGATCAATTCCTTGCTTATAAGAAAGTCAATGCAGCTCTTCAATGACTGCCACTGGACGCGTCCTCGGATGTATCTAGAAGTATTGTGTAGCGGAGAATCGACGCGCTTAGAAGTCACGCACTGCGATTTCGCCAATGGGGTTCGTTTGATGCAAGCTCTGGAAACAAGACCTGCCTGACGGGAGCCGGCACGCCTGGTCCGGAAAAAGCTTCCTTCCTAAAGCAGCAGCACGCTCAAAATCATAGCATACGTGGTTTGGTATGTGAATGAACACGCTGCAGTTAATTTGGTAGATCTCCAAGGTTCGTATAATGCGATAGTCATCGTGTCACTATTAACATACTGATTGGCCTGACCGACTAAGGAAAGGCTGCATGGTTGGTAGGTATTAAGTCCCTCTTCCAATATACCCTTGGCACCAGATGAATAACCTTCTGTTCTCAGCCGAATGGAGTAGGATAGATAGACTGACATTGCCGACTAAGATGTGGCAAGGGCTGCCCAAGGCCAGGCAAGGCCAGGCATTCCCCGCCATGCTTGTTAAAGTAAAATCATGATACGCGAACATAGGGTTCTTAAGTACCTATAATTAGCAGGCTATGACCCACTTGGGAACTCTCGCATGTACCTCCATTCTCCGTTAGGACCACGATATTTTCTCCCACGTTGAAGTTTCCAACTAGAGATAGGGTTTTAAAATGGCCATCCAAACCATCATAGACCTCCTAGAAAAAGCCGCGGGCACTCGTGACCAAGGTATCGGCGTGTATCCGCGTGGAAGCACGGAGCCTCAATGGTTAACCTATCGGTCCCTCCGGGAGCTTGCAAGAGCAAATAGCTCTCGCCTGCGTACGATACCAAGTTTTAAAGATGGTGTTGTGATTCTTCTGCATTTCGCAGACCATCTAGACAATATCATCTGGTTTTGGTCAACATTATACGCGGGCTGTATCCCAGCTATGTCTACTCCTCTACCAAAGGTTGCCACGCACCGCTCCAAGCACTTATCGCATCTGCACAGTCTGTTGGGCGACCCGATTTGTTTGACAAGAAAGGAACTATGGGAGGACGACGGGACACCTTTGAGAATTGTGGATATCCAAACATTACCTGCCTCAGCATCCACCATGGAGAGCCGCACCTCGGCGCGTAACACTCCCGCGGTCCTCATGCTTACCTCCGGCAGTACAGGGCAGGCAAAGGCCGTGCCGTTAACGCAGCAGCAGATCCTGGCCTCCCTGGATGGCAAATGCGCTGCGCTTCCAGTTGAGCCGGACCGTGTCTCGTTTCTGAATTGGATCCGCCTTGATCATGTCGGCAGCCTCGTCGAAATCCATCTCCATGGACTGTTTCTTGGGACGAATCAGCTGCATGTAGAACCGGAGAATATTCTAGCAAACCCACTACTGTTTCTGACTCTGATTCACAAACATAGGGTGGGGCGGACGTTCGCACCTAATTTTTTCCTTGTGGAGCTCTTGCGCCTTTTGAAAGCTGGGCCCGAGAACGTCGACTTCGATCTGAGTTGTCTTCGATATGTTGTTTCCGGGGGTGAATCGAACAGTGTGGAAGTTTGCGATCGGTTGTCCAGTCTCTTGATGAATTATGGTGCTCCAGGAAATGTTATAGTGCCCGGATTTGGGATGACCGAAACTTGCGCTGGGTCGATCTATAACTCAAATTGCCCAGTCTACGATCTCCAACACGGCTTTCAGTTTGCTTCCGTGGGTGAATGTGTCCCCGGAATTGAAATGCGGGCGCGTTCTGGGAGCATCGAGCTACGCGGTCCCATCGTTTTCACAGGCTACTGGAATAATGGGGCTGCAACGGCGGAGGCTTTCACCGGAGACGGATGGTTCAAAACTGGAGACACAGGGTTCATTCATGAAGGGAAGCTGCACCTTTCCGGCCGAACGAAAGAGATGATAAGCATCAATAGTGTGAAATATTTGCCGCAGGATCTTGATAGCGCGGTCGAGGAAGCACAGATCCCTGGCATCATTCCCCAGCACGTCGTTTGCTTTGCACACTTTTCCGGTAATAAGGAGGAGGTTTGCGTGGTGTATTGTCCCGACTATGTGTGGGACGATATTGAAGCGCGCTATAATGTCGCCTTGGCAATAACGCGGCGTGTACTTTTGATTACGAGCACGAGGCCCTATATCCTCCCTCTACCGCGTGAGTCGCTGGAGCGGACGACGTTAGGAAAGCTCAGTCGTTCGAGCTTAAGCACCGCCATGCGCGCAGGGCAATACGCCAAGCAGGAGGAAGACAACATCCGTTTCATAAACGAGTATAAAGATCGGACACACGCCCCAGCAAGCACTGCGGCCGAACGAATAATAGCTAAGGAGCTGGGCAATCTATTCAACCTTCCTGACTGCTCCATAGGGGTTAACACAAACCACTTTGATCTAGGCTTAACCTCCGTGCAGCTTCTCCAACTCAAGCGCCGTATTGAGCAACGGCTTAACCTCAAGAGTATCCCCATCCTGACGATGATGACCAACCTGACTATCCGCAGCCTCGCACATGCTCTGACATCCACCAAGGAAAAAGAATATAACCCTGTTGTGACATTGCAACCCCACGGCAAAAGAACACCCCTCTGGCTAGTCCATCCCGGCACAGGTGAAGCTCTCGGTTTTCTGGACCTCGCCCGGTTCTTCACTGATAGACCAGTGTACGCTCTCCATGCCCGTGGTTTCGATGATACCCCGCCATTTACTACAGTCACAGCATGCATCGACTGCTACTTAGCCGGTATAAAGGCTCAGCAGCCCCATGGGCCTTACGCGATTGCCGGGTACACCCTTGGCGCTCTCTTGGCTTTTGAGCTGGCAAAACGCCTTGAAGCCGACGGCCAAGAGGTCGCTTTCGTGGCCTCCCTCGACCGCCTCCCGTACTCTGTGGGCGGAATGCGCAACGTTGGATTCAACCAGTGCCTAACTCACCTTGCCTTCTTTTTGGGTATTATATCCAAGCCAACTATGCAGGCATTATCCTTCGAGCATTGTGATCAGAAGCTAGCTGCCGTCCAGAAGGTCGTGGACATCGCTGATAGTGAACGCATGACTGAGTTGGGACTGGACGCAGGTCAGATCCTGAAATGGGCGGATTTAATGCTAGCACTGCAGATGATGTTGCGGCAGTACAGTATTTCTGGGACGGTGAAGTCTATGGATGTATTTTATTGTATTCCGCTGGAGATCTTTGGTTGTGGACTGGACGAGTGGAAGGAGAAAATGAAAGCATGGGGCGAGTATACGCAGCAGGGGGCGAGGTATCATCGAATGGACGGCGAGCATCATAACATACTAGGACCGAAGTATGTGAGGGGTCTGCATAAGGCATTCAGTAGGGCGATGGAGGCACGGGGGATATAGTTTGTAAGTCTCTAACTAGGCATCTATGTCCTATTGAGGAAATGTACTGCTCGATTTGAATAGCTTTGTGCGTTGAGATCCGTGGAGGCGGGATCCGTAGGAATAAATAGATTTTGTATGGCTGTGCTGTCGTTGGCTTTGCGAAACACTACATGAAAAATTTCAGGCGCTTTACAAGTTGGTCCATACCTTGGAAGCTTCTCCATAGCTGTCGAGCTAGTCGCAGCTTTTCATGACAAAATGTGTCGTGCCTTAAAGCAATTTTTAAGATAAACACACCCACAGGCTTGGAGAGAAGGGCGATGCGGACTTCTGGACAGAATGACTGCAGATGACATATGACAGATTAATAACGTGCTACTGGTATAAGGGTATACATCGCTCATCATATGTGAGCTAGAGACACGGTCAGATATAGAGGCATCTGGTGCAGAACTGTATCATACTGTCCTTACAGATGGTGGCATTGTAAGAGAGACAGGAGATAGCGGAAGCAAGCGGAAGGAAGGGAGAATGCAATTTGTAAGGTAGACAACTTCAAGTGGTGGCCAGTTGAGGAGTCTATAGAATCACCGCGAGAACCAGCATCCTCACCTTCTCCCTCTCCGCATACAAGCCGAACATCCGGACTTTCCCTGCATCACCCTTTCGGGAACGACTGGCAGAGATTCTTCAACGGTATTGTCTCTTCACGCGCATAGACGCAGTTTTCCGCGTCTGCAGTCGCCCATTTCCTCTTATATACCCTCTTTTCACAAGTACACAGAGTACACAGACAGCTGCAGATGCAACCAAATTCCATGCATTGATCTGACTATAAGCCGCTTTGGCATGACCTGGTTCTGAAACTCAGCCTGAATGCCACATTTTCAAAGACATAATATTCCAGACTGAGGTTTGCGCAAGTCCACATGTTTCATTCGGTTCACCGTGCAGTACCATGTGTGAAGTGGAACTGCCTCTTGGATGGGCTACTGAGCTTAGTGCTTATTCAACACGCACACCTAGATTTGGTATGCAAAACGTAATTATACTAAAGTATCAAATATGCGTGGCGGGTGAGGTCTCGACTGTACTCGTCTCGGATGAGTCTCCGGGCCTAGGATGTTTCGAGGTGTATGTAAGGATAGTATCCACCAGGCGCTTTTGATTGAGAGGCTTAGATAAGTAATCATCCATACCAGCATCCAGACACTTTCCACAGTCACCTGCCATGGCGTGAGCCGTCAAGGCAATGATTGGGGTGTGCGATAGATTGTTCGCTTTTTCGTACTGCCGGATCCTTGACGTCGATTCCAATCCACCCATGACAGGCATCTGAACATCCATGATTACCAGGTCGAAAGCTCGCTCCTGGAAATTCTTGAATGCCTCTAGGCCGTCTGTAACAACCGTAACGTCATCGGTGCACTTCGTAAGTGCCTTCAGTGCTACCCGCTGATTAATTTCATTGTCTTCGGCCAATAGGATCGCCAGAGGACTAGAACGTTTGGGAGTAATGCGCTTAGGCTGATTCCGCAACGCCGAGAGAAGGCTATTGGCAAGTTTTTCTTCACGGCAAGGGACTGTCACGTAGGACGTGATACCCAAGTCGAAGGCTGACTTCAGAGAGACCGTCAAGGGCAACGATGGCACGGGGCTGAACAGGACGAGAGGGACTGAACTGAAAGCTTTATGAGCCCGCAACTCGAATGCTGTCTCAACTGTTTCCACAATGATAGCGCCCACTTGATTATGATCCTGGTCCAGGCTCTGCATGGCAGCTTCTAGAAGCTCATGCTGACTGTAGACAAGATGTCGAATCCCTAGTTTATTGAGTAGCTGGTGGATATTTTCATCACTCTGAGATCCCGATCTGAAATAAAGAACGGTGTAGTCTTTGTATGGGGCCAGCTGCTCAACCACTGGACCAGTCGTCTTCTCCAGCATCAACGCACAAGTAAAGGAGAATGAGCTCCCCAAACCAATGGCTGACTTGACCCGGATATCCCCGCCCATCAGGTTTACAAGCCTCTTAGAAATAGTGAGGCCGAGGCCCGAGCCGCCGAATTTCCTGGTCACTGAGCCGTCCGCCTGTTGAAACTTGTCAAAGATGAGCTCGAGGTTGTCCATTTCAATCCCAACTCCAGTATCTACAACGGAAAATTCCACGACGCATTGATCGTCCGAGAAGTTCTCATGCTGGGCCATATTAACGATCACCTGAATTTTTCCACGCTCTGTGAACTTTACTGCATTACCCACCAGATTAAGAATTACTTGGCGAAGTCGGTTCGGATCTCCAGTGACGTAGTCTGGCACAGAGCTGTCAACCTCATAGAGCAGGTCGACCCTCTTTTTACTAGCCTCCACTGCAAGCGATTTAAGGGTGTTGAACACCATAGATCCCAGGCTGAAAGGGACCTTTTCGATCACCATACGATTGGCTTCTATTTTCGAGATATCAAGGACGTCGTCGATGGTCGCCAGAAGATTGTTGCCCAGGCTATGAACTAGGTTCAGAGCTTCCCGTGTGGTAGAGTGCAGCCCTTCCGTCTCAAGGGCTATCTCCGCCATGCCGATGATTCCATTCATTGGTGTGCGAATTTCGTGACTCATGTTGGCAAGGAATTCCGACTTGCTTCGATTGGCCGACTCGGCTGCCTCTCTGGCCGCGCTATTGCGCTGAATGCTCTCCTGCAGGCTAGATATCATTGCGTTGATTCGTCTCTTGAGGTCGTCCATTTCACCGGATGCAGTGATAGTGATCAACTCGCTGAAGTCACCACAAGTGGCAGCCTCTGTGACTTCGCCAAAGCCACGGACCTGTGTTGTCAGGTTTTCGGCCATGCCATTGACCTCCTCGATTATCTCTCTCCAAACCCCATAGAAACCTATCACCTCGGCCCGCCTATCCAATCTTCCATTAACACCCACGTCTCGAGCGACGCCCCTGAGCTGCTTCGCGAACCTCTCAAGACTCCCGACCATATTATTGATCGTTACTTTCAGGTTCGAGACCTCCAACGGTGCATCCATCACTAGCGTGCTATCACCGCCTCCGCTAGGCTCGATAATCTGAGCTCTTGATGCCATGCCCGGCGCCAAGCCATTGACACTATCTGACAAGACTTTGGATTTCTCTATTAAAGAAGCGCCCTCGACCTGGTCATGCAGCAGATCATTGGTGGCTGTAAGGCCTGACATGCACGCATTCGCTTTCCAAGGCTTTACCAGCAGCCTGGAAGAGAAATCGCCTCGAATCACCCCATTTATGACCCGCTCCGCCGCACGAAGGTCTCTGGAAAGCAGTTGTTCGGCATGTCTATACTTTTCCAGCTCAGCCAGAAGGTGCGTGCGGTCTGCGTTGGCTTGTGCTAACGCCAATCCCGCATCATGTGTCTTCAGGAGTTCGTCGACGGCCGCAGAGAGAACCGTCCGCGAGATGCGGATGTCTTCCCCTTCTTGTTGTAGGGATTCGCGGATACGCGAAACAATGCGGTCGTTTCCAGCGGTTCTATGATCGACTCTACTGCCAGACATCCTTTATCTGACTTGCCGAATGCTTCTTACGGGCAATTTAACCTATGGCGCAAACCGGCTTATACTGCGAGGGACACGCAAGTAACGGATTCCGCCTGTTCCACCGATCCTGCTGCCGTCAGCGTGTATCGATAGACGTTGGCCAAGCTGGAACCATGAGCAGAAGTCGTCCCAGAAACACCGTATCCAAAATGCTTGAGTCACTGTGGCCCCTTCAGGATGTGATGATTACCGGCAATGAAGAGAAACTGCAGTCCGCAACTTGAAACGTAAAAGTTTGGGCGTGCCAACACGTGACTGCTCCGCCTGATATGCTAGGGACGCCGGGCTTCTGCGGCTAGTGGTCCTTGTTCACCACAGCAAATAGTGGTAGGTGCAGACTTATACCCGAGTCACGGGTGGCGTGGTCAAGGGGAACGGCATACCATCGCATTATACAGGTGCACTGAACGTTTCCAGAGACTGGGAAAAACGAGTCACAAAGTGACATAAAACTTGAGCACAGCCAGTGATGTCATGCCAAGAGATAGTGGTGGAGCCATAAAAGCCAATGTGACGGTCAAGTCTTAGACATCCTTTCGGTACAAATTGTTTGCTTCCCCTACCTTGACCGGCCGAGCGCACTTGTATGTGGGGATGAGCTTGTCCCGATCAGCAACACGTTGATTCAGTGCTTAAGCATTTCTGAGAAACTGACTCTTGCTCCTCTGTGACGCCTTGTTTTCATTTCAGATACAAAACCTAGCGGAACCCTTGTGGCTATATCGCGTGTTGTTCTTGCCCGTGCGCCTGATGCATCCGTTGACTAGTGAGTTGCGCTACTACTCATGTGATAAGCTGCGTTATATCCCGGACCAAGATTGACAAAGTGCCGGCGACAAATAGACCCACAGGACGACTAAAGTTCATAATAAGGTTGTTTTGTGGGTAGCATTAGGGTTGGGATTCGAAGAGGAGTAAATTGTAAAGTTCCAAGCTTCGACTAGGTATATTTCCAAGTAATGTAACGAAGTGGTTTTAGCTGTAGCCATATCACATATTCGTTATTGGGTGCTCAGGGTGGGTGGATATATGTTGAAAGCCACTCACTGATCGTAGAATACCCCTAGTTTAATCTCGCCTGGGACATGGAGTATCCAGTATGGCACAAAAGGACTGATTGAAGCTATACTTGTTACGGGACGAATAGATTGTTCTAACCTAAGCGTGCCTATTGAACAAGAAGAAATAGCTAATTAACAGAAATAACACGTCGTACGAAATATTTGTGTGGTAAAGGCTTGGCAGCGATGCCTTAGGCAGAGCTTCCATGATATAGGGCTGCCTGTAAGTCAGTCCCATAACAATACTAGACGAGTCCACTGCAGACCTGCGTCTATCCACACCAGTGAGCTCTGTCAAGGATGATGGCTCCCAGGTTATTATAAGAACACGCGCCGGACAAACGCTCTCCGCACATACAGTTATTTTGGCAGTGCCAGTCAATACTCTCGGAGACATAAAGATTACACCCCCTCTGCCTCCCGCTGTCCGCACGATGATCGACCAAAAGAATCCAATGATGGCGAACAAGTTCTGGGTGTGAGTCAAGGGGGAAATTGAACCATTTTTCTGCCTACGCCCCTGCCGGCAAGCACCCTCTCATTGCGGTAAGAACAGATCGCTACTACTACGGAGATACATTAATCATGTGTATGGTCTCTGACGCCGCGGCAATTTCCGCTAACGACCTCGGGGCCGTTCAAGCCGCGCTTCGAAAGTTTATCTCTGATATCGAAGTGCTCGATGCAGAGTGCCATGACTAGTGCACCGACGAGTTCTCTAAGGGTAGTTGGATGGTACATCGTTCCGGGCATATGACCGGCGCTGCACCGCAGATCCGAAGGCCCCATGGCCGTATATACTTTGCCGGAAGCGATATCGCTACCCTCACCCTAGGTTTCATCGAAGGTGCCTTATATGCCTTATAGAGCGGTGTAGCTGCCGCTCGCGACGTGACTGCATTGTTCTTGAAAAGCAAATTCTGAGTAGAGATTTCTCAGCTTTCGTGATCCTTTCAGAGGGATGTGTAATGTTCAAGGGCTCTTCTAAATCGGTTATAAATAAGATTTACGGTCTTTGATCCGATAAAGTATAGAAATGGGACACTACATTGACTAATAGCTTTCCAGAAATGCTAACGAAGGAAGAAAAAAAGTATTCGAAGTTAACCTGGGAGACAGAATGATGGTGATATAGATATCTGGTGCCCATATGTATTTCCAGCGTAAGACCCGATATTTCTAACACTCCAGGTAATAGTCCACCACCAACGCCATCTATCTTTAAGATCAAGAAGTAATGACCATAGCCAAGGTATGCAGAATCCAAATACAAGCATCGCCTACTCAATTTCGATGCGGGGCGGGATAAATACTGACACCCAATCTAGACAAGAGTAGAACAGGCGTAGAAACGTGTAATTTATTACCTAAAATCATAAAGCTATGCTAAAGGCAGTATAGTGATGCTACTCGTTCACTAGCTGAAAGCAAACACAGAAGCGCACCTCGGATCTGCTTTTGAATGTTCTTAGTTCTTAGACAAGATGTTAAGACGCACATCGCGACTATGCCAGGAGGAAGAGCCAAGGTGTCAGAAAAGCGGTGTATTGGCAAGTCTGTCCAGCATGTGCATTTTCAGTTGAATAGAAGCATCTCCTCGTATTAAATAGCAGGGGGATTCACTAGAAGATCAAATATGTGCATATTAGGGCGGTTGTATCCGCACGGCTTTTCTGCTCAAAAAGCTAAAAAGTTGCAAAATAAGCCTACACAGGATACATGTCAAAGTGCCATGAAGGTCATAACCGGGAAGGCAATACAATGTCGAATCTGGAAGTGTTGTCATCGGGCTGGTAGATGCTTTATGATAATGACGTGAAGGAGCAATAATGCTAAGTCATTTCTCATCCATCAAGTTAAACTCTATTACCTTAGCTGGCGAGTTATTAGTGGCAGTCATTGCGACTGTTCACTGCCAAAGGAATTCCGGGATGTCCCAATTAATCTTTGTTGAAGATATGGTGTATAGCTGGTGTATAGCAAGCGCCTTGGCAAGCGTGCCGGGGTTATAACCCCTAAGACGCTCTCCTTCTTCCTGTATCTATTCAGGCAAGATGCTGCTCAATGTACGTCTTGTCTCCTCTCAAATGCCATCTTTCCCTGAAATCACAACAATGTTCATTCCTCTGACACAGTCTTCGGTCATGGTACGCTGGCCCTTTTCAATCAGCTAAACACCTTGGCCTATAAGGCTGCTTATGTTGGGAGAAGGTTTGACAAAAGACTCTTCGTTTCCGGGCCTAGGACAGAGTACCAAAGGTACTGACAAACTGATCCGCCTCTCTGGAGTCGGATGACCCCGGCTTCTGATATTCAAAGAGCTCATTGAGTACCGATAGCCTTCGGAAATGGCATGTCTATTTACTAATTTCATGATCCTTGGATGGCAGAAAACCTCTTCCGCCACTGTAGTTCATACATACTAACTAGCCCAATGTATGCGCGCAACAGCCCATCCCGTTTGGCCACCTGAGTAGCTAAAAGCCCTCGGAAACGCGTTCCTAAATTTCACTTATTATCTTTTATGTATACTTCAAGAATAATGTTATCTAGCATTGTTAAAATGGATGTTTATGTTACAAACAGAAATTTCCCTTCGAGTTGGAACGATCAATGGTTGACGAATTTCCCACTGCTTCCAGGTGGTAACTGGTTGCAACCTTATGACTGCAGCCTGTCACCATCTGACGCTCAGCTACAGTCTCCGGATACCTCACTGGACGAGACTTGCAGCCTTGATATGAATTGACGGAGGGCTTCCTGTGTGATACCCCCACTTGTACCAGAGTGAGAATATATTCATTACCCATTGAATGCCCACGGCGTACGCTGCTAACGTAGTCGCCAGGACCTTGGTGTGACTTGCTACGACGCGTCGGCGCCATTGAGAAGCAAACAGATGCTATGTGATAAGTCAGCGAAGCCGCCTATCGACAGGAGCATGATTATGGACACTTCGCAGCAGCTAAAACCGGAGCTAATACGTACGTCGGTTACTCCTACTTCTAATCCAGATCCCTCACCTGCACATTATGTTAGGCTGAAGCCAATGCGGAAACGGCTGGGACCGTAGGACAGCGCTGGGCAGCAAAATTGTTCATTTACATCCTCGGACAAGGTTGATCCGGACATTCGCAACCTGCGGAAGAAGGCGCACAATGAGGTGGAGAGGCGTTACAGAGCGGATCTAAATGCCAGATACAAGCAACTTGAAGACGCCACCAAACAAGAGACAGCGACAGCAGGACCCGATGTCAAGTCGGCGAGGGGGTAGAGACAGGGTAGAAAAGCATTGATTCTGCAGAATACCTATGATTGCATTGTCAGCCTTCAGACGGAGCTCCAAACACTGCAAAAGATGATCGAAAGTTTGTGAGGTTGTACTGAAGCGACCCTCTATTATGCCCTAATAAGTGAACCATTTCCCCCAGTGAACTGGTAGTTTGCTGTTACATTCGTTTCCTGTTACATGTCTATGCCACATATTAACTAAAGATTGGCGCTGTATGAATAATAGAAGCCCACGATAAAAACATGGCGAATTTCAGTTCAGTTAGTGTCAAGTCGTTTAGCATGTCCGTTCTAGAACTACAGACACGAGGCTTTCAGTTCAATGAGTGCGTCCAACTCACGTGATATGATGTAAACAGATCACATGCACATTCGCCCGTCCGCCACCGTAGCCTAGATGGTAGTCCTAAGTTTTTATCACAAAGAAGGACGACGACTTTCCTGGTGTAGGTAAAGGAGATCCAGGTAAATGCCATGGTGTAATTCGTATTTTTTACCTATATTCACACATGTATTTTTACCTGCGAACAGCGTATCGGAGGCCATAGGCTACTTGCAATCTTTGTCCCTAACTCCAGTCCTGTTAATATATGAGCATACGCATAATGATCACATCTGTCATGGGATCCAGAGAAAGAAAGATAGAATTAATATAACCAGTTCGACCTGCACCCCACAACTTTAGTAAATAGTCTATCGCTGTACAGCGGCTGGTTCCACGAAGCAGACGGGACTTGCTGGCTGTCAAATGAACCAGCTTCGCCATTGAATGAGGTTTATGGATCGCCCCAATGTCTGAGGCGTGGGAGCTCCAAACATGAAAACGGTGTTCAAGTAGTTTCTCCTCCATCCATGGGCCTATGTTGTCCCTATCCTGTGATATATGCAGCCTCGTCCCTCAAGGCAAAAGCGACGACGTTGATAACCGTTGGGCCCTCACGAAATTCTAGGAAAACGAGCGAAAGCAGTACCTATCTGAGCAGCCCTGGATTTTATACAGGTGTCTCTCAAAAGAGTTTCTTGAAGAGCACTGTTGGACTAAACATGAAGCTATCTGAGAAGGGCTATGTGCAGCCTGGGCTGATAGTATAGTCGTGGCCATGAGAGCCGAAAAAATAATGCCATGGTAAGAAGGCCAGCACAGACCTTCACCCACAAGGTCCTTCTGCCTGCTTGTAATGGTACTATAGGTATATCCCACAATGACAGACAAGTAAGGGTAAATGGAAACCTGCCACCACCACGTCCGTACCCTTACGGATATTACGTTTTTCAAAGCTAAACATGAATGTGTAATTTGGCGCATTTGATATTAATGTTACAAGGCTTTTGGAAAATGTTATTCGTGTTAAATTAAGGCTAGACTAACAGCGTGCCATTAAGATTAATATAGGCCTTAGCGAGTGAACATAGTTCGAAGATAATCACTTAGGGGAAAACAATCGCAATTTTACCATAGCCTCTTGAAGTGAGGGGGCACCTTGTATATGCGCTCGGAGTTCCTTGACAATTTCATCAGTCCCGTGATACAAAATGCGGACTAACTGTATAAGAACCTGGTAAGTATTCGATGCATCTCTCTGTGCTTTTAGTAATGTTTCCTTGCGGCGTTTGTCTTTCGAGAAATCAAATACGCACTCAGACCCCGTGGCAGTACATCCCTGACAAGGAGCTATACCGGTGCACTATTAGTTATTAAAAATCTGAAAACAAGAAGTAAAGAAAAGGGAATTATATATTTACCTTTACACGTTTCCTTTGGCAGACTGTACAAGCTGTACTTTGTCGCTTTCGCTTCAACTCAGTACCTGATGTGAAGTTTGGTTGAGGGTCTTCCTGTATTGGGTTTTTAGGAAGTAAAAGTCTTGTTGAGTTTCTAGTATCCGCGAACATACCTAAGAGTTACTAGAGAATAAAAGCTTGGAAGAAGTGGTTAGAAAATTAATACCCTCTTCTGGCTGGCCAAGTTGTTATATAGTGCTGTTTTATATTGCTGTTTCGCCCCCGTTATTTTTTCTTCTGCCTGCTTCTTTTTGTTTCCTTGCTTAATTATATAATCGCACTGACATTCGTAGCGATCATAGAATCCACTGTATGTCTAGCCTGAGTAAAGGAAATTCATAGGATACAAAAGAGTAGCCAAATAGTGAGAGAAGGTTTTAAAGAATAAATAACTTGCGAAATAGAAATTAGCAATAAGTAGTAAGAGACACAAAGGTGAAGAAAAGAAATTGCCACATATTTCCTCGGAATGTTTTATTAATATCTCTAGGTTTCGGGGCTTCCCTGAATCTCTTGTTGCCCTATGAAATCCAGACCTTTTCCTAGAGCCAAACATAGGTGGACCTTGAAAGCTGTGGAACGATCGTGTTAATATAGCACCCATCCGTAGTGTTTCTGTCGAGGGGGATGGAAAGCATGAGATTCCCTAATTATGGATTACTTGTGCATACTAACAGTCTAGTGCAGGCCTTGACTACTGATTACTCGACCATACTAGTGGTTCTGGTTGGTCTTCTAAGCATGATTACATTTGCAATGGCCCGGTCTAGGTCAAAAACTTGACAATGTACGGGGAAATACCACAGTCGGGTTACATACCATGTCGGCTCTGCCGTGGTAGGCGGTTCGATAGTGCTGAATATCAGCACTTTCCTTCTCCGTATATAGCAGGTGATAGGATTGGATGCAGCTCTGATGGATGCTCTAGATGCCGCCTCCTATAGTTAGACCTTAGGAACAAGGTTTACATATCCATGGGAACCACATTCCAAACCATGGATAAAACCATGGATATCTTCCGTGAAGTCATCAGAAATAAGGATCTAGGTGTCATGAATCCCTACGGTACAGCACTTTACAAGATTTTTTAGCCCAGAAATACTGCATGTAAATGCTAGTATTTCACACCTCCAAAGTAGCCAGCGACCGAAATGCATACTCCGTAAATAAGTTGCATCTTGTGTCATGCGGTGACAGGGCCCTGAAACGAGCCTAGTGAGAGGAAGGGGAAAAGTAAACGAGCTTGCGAGGCCGTGCGCAAAAAAGAGTGCCATTATCTACGTAGAGATGCAACTGCCACGCCTAACCCTACTGGAACACCCTATATCTGCGTTGTGATTTGACTGATGGATTTTGAGTTGGTTATATATATCATGCATCAATCACGCTTGTGTGACCGCTTCTTCCGATGAAAGAGTTCGTCTGTCAGAAATATTCCTAAAGCACTTAGTCGGCACCGGGTCCAACTTCGGCCACTTCGGCCTGTGACATCTATTCAACTGCTCCGATCACACCCTCTTACCGCGCCTATTTCGAGGTTGCCTCCAACCTCATCTACCCCATCACGACCCCGCGAAAAGAGTCACCTGATTCTCCCTTACGTCCTAAGCTAAAACGGCTGCATACGACAGACCTGCAATAGCCGTAGGAGAATATTCAAGTATGCTGTTCATGTCCCTGTCTTTTCCACTATACAGACCCTGTACATGTGGCGTATAATGACCCTATGCTCTTACTGCTAGACTGCATGTCTTTTTGTAATGTACCATTTCATGCGGAAGAAGGGAACTGCTGGTTCACTATCGGATTGGGTTACTGCAGACCCAACTCGCAGATAGCTGCTATATTAGTGGCGGTTCCGATCACCCACCGCCTTTCGGAAAGTATGTACGGTCTACTAACCAAAGTACTGTCCATATCCGTAGCAGTAGTAGTACATGACGTGATAGGACCTAATGAGGTATAGTAATCTTGGTGCAAGGTTGGCTACGGGTCAGGCATAGCCCAACCCAAACCCGCTCGGATACGATATCTTCGGCTGGTATTCCTATCGCTTCCGGCGGGCCTCCCAATCTCAACATCAAAGACACATCGGGCAACCGAGCATTACCTTTCGGGACTTGGTTAATGTAGAGGTGGCTGGAGGGCTGCTCCGTCAATGCAAGGTATCATTCTGCGGGCGACCAAGGGGAGAGTTTATGGCGGAACAACGAACCATTAGATAGGTATCTCGGCTCGCCAACGGCAAGTATGCTTCAAGATTTTGTTCGCTGCACTTTATGTAGCATGTTAGATACTGTATTTATGTTGCAAATAAGAAACGAAATTCTGACTGATGTAACAAATACGTTATAAGTTTAGTTCGGAGCAATGCGTGTTGAGTTTTAGAAACACCGGATGCCATAGAGCTCTAACGTTGACGAGGTCTAGACTTCCCTAACAATGTTTGTCAATCAGGCCTCCGTTTTCCGTGTTCATGATGTAATCTACAAAAAAATGTTACAGTTTCAATAGCTCAAAAAACCACCCCCTGTAGTATCCAAGGCCTACTATCTTTTTACCTATAACTCCGAGTATTGTTTCTCTACTTAGTTGACAGACTTGCTACATTATATATTAACTAGGACTCGTGTTACCTGAGCCTACAAGAGGCTCAATCCAATCCCAACCACAAAAAGATTGAGCCGCCACGTAAGCTATTAAAACAAGTTTACAGGCAAGCAACAAATTTGTGCGAGATGTTCCAATGTTTCAAACACTCCAATCGCTTCAAGCAACCAGTTGACCCTGCAGCCAACGGCTATACGCTGGTCAAACAGGAATGGCTGGAGGGCGGTATCTGGCATATTTGGAAGGTCAATAACGATACAAACACTATCGGATATCTCAGCAAGATCGGTGTCGATCCTACAACCAACAGAATATGTGTGTTTGAAGTCAGTACAGACACTGACAAGTTCCCGACTAATAAAAAATTAAAACTACGGGACTTTATAATGGGAATATGGAAGATAAAGCATGAACAACAGCCCGGAGACTTACACAGCATCATTTTTCAAAATGTTGTTGGCGGGGATGTGCAGGCTGTTTGTGATGAGGCATGGAGCGTGATGATGAAGCCTATTAAGACCGAGCCGTTATGTATCAAAGCAAATGGAGCCACGCCAGAAGAGAAGAAAGCATTTGGTTTGCTGAAAAACATCTTCTTCTGCAGAGGAGTGCAGCATATGCTGGATGAGTATGAAGATTTAAATGGCAAGATAATCAAAGAGTATGTGTTGGTGAAACCACCACCCTCTCAGAGCTTGCAGATTGAACTTGTCATAGGATCTGCGAGATAAAAGAAACCATGGATATTAATTACATATATTTGGGATATGGCTATGTTTCTGTCCGTTGGAAATTCTAGGGGTACTTTTTCTCCTTAATAGTTCGTTACTGCGTCAGAATTGGCTTTAATATATACATCTATTTAAAAACTTTCATTTATTGCAGACTAAAAATGGTCTCTCTTCTAATCAATGGTAAGAAGCATCGAGAGTAGAAAATCGGCGTTCTCATCGTTGCCTGGTTTGCAATGTTGCTGTTACCGTTGAGCTTAGCAGCTGAACACCAACACAATGGAGAGCGGCAGAGGTGCGCATTATACTGGCGCCTAGCCTAACTACCATAGGCCGCGTATATGCTTCTGAGAAACGCGATGTGAAGAATCTTGTCGTACTAGTCCCACATTTCTATATGCCAGGAATAGTCATTACCTTTGGTCTCCATGGCTTGGACACTGTTGGCAAAGCTAGTACAGAGACATTTCTATTGACTCAACTCCATTGCTCACGTGTGGCCCACCATCTTCTTATTATTTCGCTTTTTTCTTGTTGTTTTGATATGTTAGAATCCTAGGTTCCTTATCAACTGGAGCTCTCTTGAGAATCTAGCATTTCCAACCATCTTGTACATGTTCTTTCTTCAATTTTAACTATCGCGGCTCTCATGCTGCTGTACAAGTGAACCCGAGAGAAGTCATTTATAAAGTCAGAAATGATTGACTTACTTATGGGAAAAGCTTTGTTGAACGCTAGAATTATTTTCTTGAGTTGTGCTTCTAGGTTGCGGCTTAAATTGCCATCCTTCTCGATACTGGAGAGCATCTCGTGTTCATTGTTTTTTTAGATGAGCGAGAAAGTCAGTCTCCCAGCGTTGGATCTGGCTAACTGGACTTCCATCGCTAAGACCGTTGATACCAGCGGGCATCATTTCATCGACAGCCATTGGGGTTTACTGTTTTTGCTTCAGGAGCTCTGTTAAATGCTCACCACGTCTGAAAGTTTGCTTGGTGGCAGCATCAAGGTCTGATCTAAATTGAGAAAATGCTGTAATCTCGCGGTACCGTGCTAGATAGAGCTTGAGTGAACGAGCAACTTGTTTCATGGGCCCAAGCTGAGCTGCGGAGCCAACTCGAGAAACAGAGAGCCCAACATTAATAGCAGGTCGGATGCCTCTATAGAAGAGAATAGAGGTAAAATTCATCCAGGTAGGCTTCACGTCCAGGGGGCCGACGAAGCAATAGTGACATCTGACGGTAGGCCACTACATGCTTGGGCAAATCATCATAGATGATAATGGCGTGCTGACCATTGTCGCGAAACCACTCACCCATATGTATGATTATAAATAGTGATAATCCTCCTAAGATTCGCAGTCTAGAAGTGCCGCTATAAGGGCAATGGAGCAGATTTGGAACAAAAACTAATAAAGGAACCTAATCGTGTATTAGAGATGGTAGCCAACCATAGTAGCATAGCATTGCGCGTGTTGTCTTCAAAGATTAATTTCTGGGCGTCCTCCTTTCCTTAGTCGGCCAATAACACCGCAGAATGCTTCTGCAAAAGGCAACGCTACTCTATAGGCGAGTTTTCAGTGATAAACGAAAGTTTTTTTCTATTGAAGTCTGTGCAAAATCTCCCTCCGGTGTGAACTAGGCATTTCTGAGTATTTGCAATTTCCACCAAACGCTATAGCAACATGGGGAAATGATCATTGAGTTGGTTTGTGAACTTAACCCGAACGGCGAAAGAACATTTGGAGTTGACACCAAGCTAGACTTGGTTGATGAGAATGCCGGAACTGAAGTCGCTGATCTTTTTGAAAGGAAAGAGGTGCAAATGAAACAATGAAGGGATTATGGAAAAGAGAAGGTAACTGCGAATCAGGAGATATCTATATCAAGCATAGACTATCTATCTCTTATTCTCCAATTCCCTATACCAAAAATGATGCGGCTGTACTCAATATCCCAAGCTGCTCGACTATAACGTAGCGATACTCAGGCTCCACTTCCGGTTCATACTCAACAAATTCAAGGCTTGAATTGTACTCTTTTTGGTTGAGTCGAACAATGAAAATTTCCACACCGTGTACCGCCCTTGGGGGGAGGTCTTGTGCGTTGAAACTAGTATGGCTCACTAAAATTCTACCACGATAGTCACATATTTTCCCTTTATAATTTTGCTTTTATTTCAGCTCAATACATGGCCAAGGGGATCCGTCCAAAGCAGGAAGGTACTCATCCTCTCGGTACTCTGTACTTGGCAGCGTACTTCTTGATGGCTGTAACAATGGGCTTCCTCGTTTCTTGGTTATCAAACACCTGCGCATGATCCAACATCTCATACCAGATAACTTCTATCCGTGGCGGCTTCCATTGCCCAGCTCGCATTTGAACGTTGGGAGCCTCAGGTCGCCCTATTAGTGCCTTCTCGCCATTTGTGACCATTTTTCTTGACACAAGACTGTTGAGGAGATATTTCCTGACAGCCTGCGTATCTACGATCAAATCCCGACCACTTAACACAACGATAGTATCTCTTTGACTTTGCCAATTGCCTTGCTCCTCGATCATAAGGTCTTTCTTCCATAGTATGCTCTCACTCCAGCAAAAGTGCTTAGCCAGAGTGTCTGCAACACCAATATCGCTGCTTGCAAAGTAATACAATTGATGTTCATTTGCGTGAACTGGCTTGCGGACTAGGAAGTTATAGGTCACCTCGGGTAGATGGAGGAGAAAGCAGATGGGATCTATGAAAACAAGAGGACCAGCGAGTGTGGCGGTAACTGGGGATTTTATGACATGGGTCGCGATTATGGAGCCGTAGGAATGAGAGACCAAAACAAAGCGTCCCCATCTATGGTGTTCTACAATTGAATGGATCTCCGATACCATGTCGTCTTTGCTGAGTGCTGGGTGAGTAATTCGCGAGCTGACAGGCATGATCTCCAGGGCGATGACACCAATCTCACCATCATCTGTTTCATGCTGCGTATGAGTGGTTAATTCATGTAAGAAACTAGTGTAGGGGTACAATCCGACTCCGATTCCATGCAGGAACAGTACCGGTAACCTGTTCTTTGCTGTGTGTTTTCTGAACCAATAAGTAAGGTGGGTCGCCGGCGATCTACCAGAGGCCAACAATGTAAACGGTCGAGGGGGGAAGAGCGTAAAAATTCGCATGCGCGAAGTGCGATGGAAATGGAATCCATTATACTTCATTAAGCAAATTGTAACTGCATCAACCATGAAGATACACTGTATAATGAGCTGATCAGGCTTTGCTCGGGACTATTACAAGTAAAGGTTTGGGGGGTTGGCCATACAAGATACCACAGAATGCTGCGATGAGAGCAATGCCCTCGGCTTACTTTTCGTCCCATATGCTCCGCACTACCTTTCCCTAACGGCAGCTCCCTCTTGAGAAGCTTTTCCATCTGTGCTGTGTAAATCTCGATTTCCTCAGTCTGTCCATCTGTCTGGTTGTCGTTGAAAAAGGCCCATCTGATGAAGTCCTTCAAGTTATCCCTTTTAATTTCTTCGCGCTTTGCATTGTTGAACCACCGCTGCAAGTACACTTCTGGCTCAGTCACATTACTCATGCAACAGTTGAATAAGTGTCGTCTCTCTATTAGAGGTAGGGGCTTAACATGGTAGGTTGAATGCTGTAAAAAGTATCTATACGGTACGAAAAAAAGGATGAGGAAGGCTGCTTCCGCTCGGAGATATATATCAATTGGCAAGGGAACATGTACTGGGTGGAAGACCGCCAAACAAGGCGAGAACACGAGCCACATTGAATAAGACAGACTCATAAAAATGACAGAACGGAGGCAGAGGATAATAAATCGAATAAAGATATACGCCGAGATAGACTTTCCTATCATGGTGAAGCGCAAACGACGGGATCTGTCATCTGTTCTCGAAGACGATTTTGTATAGTGATCCTTGGAAGAATGGATCACTAACATCCCAAGAGCTTGGTGGGTTTTAATAATATCATTTTTCGGGAACTACGGAAACCGAGTAGTAACGAAATGCAACTTTGTCATTTTCTTGCTGCTGCATGTTAATGGTTGTGCCATCTATTGACGTAATTGGGAAGCGGGCCGCGATGACTGCAAGCTAGCCACCATCTTGTGTGTTCCGTCTAGAATATCATTTATCTAGGAAGTTTGAGATAAGTGTCTACAGTGCATCATGGTGTCATACTTATATAGAGCAGAAATATATCGCAAACTACTCGTTGACAAGGTACTATACATTACAGCTGTACCGTATTTCCTCGGCCATCCGGCCACCCGGCCGCCCTTTTATTAAAATTGCATTCCTATAAAAAGAATTAGGTAGTTCTATCAATTCGCAGTCCTTAATTCTATGTGCCTGTCTATCACAGCTAGAGTATTTAGATGGGCGCGTTTAGGGGCCGATTTACCAGATAAGGTTGGATCTGCCTCTAGCTTTAGAGCTTTACCTGTATATGCTCTGCTCGCGTACATATTTGAGATTATCAAGCGAAAGAAAGTGACTGCCTTTGAGAAAGGATAGACGGACAGAACTACCTAAGGCTAGACATGCAGCCGGATCTGACCTAATCCCTTATTCTATAAGATACGTGAGATTCATAGTTGTGGATGTGTGCATGGAACTATCTACAAGCGCATAATTAGGCCACGCGTGCTTCTCTGCTGTGGGAACCCACCACTAAGGAGTAAGGTAACTAGTTTTAGATACAAGCTCCGTTGCAATGAATTTGAGGCGTACCTGTGAGCGAAAAGTGTTGCCAGCCTTCTGGCACGTGATTATATGAACCCATTATGAACCCATTATGAACCCATTCCGTTCCGCGCATGAAGTATTATCGTCACAGCAAGCTATCTGTCACTTTACCACCCTCTTTTGCGTCAGATTGTTAGCCGTCCCTAAAGATGTTTTGGTTGGTTTGGGAGGCATACCGAATCAATGAGCCTTTAGAAGCATTTCACTTATTCTATGCTCCTTCGCATATTCCATCCCTTGTTTATGAGCCGCCAATTCGGGTTCCGAAAAATCACCCCAGGTTTTTAAAGACGGTGAAACGTGGACCACAGACTCATCTCCCGTCGGCTTCTTGGAAATCACACGGGTACAAAACTGATCAGGTTTTGGCCCAGAACTTGACAGAAGAAGGTACCGAAACAGGCTTGCGGAGCCACTTTCCAATCCCCCATTAAACGAAACATCCACTGTATGAGTTGGCCCTCGGATAGTAATTCCAACTTCAAGATAATTTTCGTCCGAGTTGCACTGCTCAAATTTCACGTGCACTGGTGATATTCTCGTCACCCTCCAGCCCATCTTGTTTTCTGGTATGATTTCCATGCCTGGGAGATAGGTAATCTTGCATTCAGCCCATTGTAACCTTTCGTTTCGAGCTGAAATTGGTATAAACTTGAGCCTTCCCTTCAGCTCCATGAAATTACAAATGTAATCAAGTGCTGGCGCGAGGCGTTCGCCGATTTTCTTTTGGGAAGTTTCGTTACTTCCTTGCAAGAACGTGTCAAGTCTCTGGATCTGGGTATTAGTCATGGCGTCTCTCTCGTGGAAACGATTCGATTGCCAATTCTGGAAGGCTTCCTTGCTGGCGGGATCATTTGCCAAAATCGCAGCGTAACCAGCGTCACCTCCGAGGACTTTGCACTGAGTTGTGCGGACGTTCAAATACCGCCTGTATTCATCCTCATTTTCCACCCCATAGCTCCCGCCCATGATCCCCTGATATTCCGCTTTGACATGCGCGCTGAACTCATCCCGCATGTTTTGTGAGGCCTGCTCACGTTCAACCCTGAGTTGATATCGAGTGCCCATATGACACTGCACTACGAGATGAGTGCCCCAAGTTTCGAAAAACGACTTGAACACTTGGTATATGGCCGGACGCTCCTCCCAGGAAGGCAGTTGTTCCGCGGCATTAATGAAGCCCATATTTACAAAGCTGTAACATCGATCGCGATCCAGATATAGCCTGTAGGACTGCTGATCGAAGCTGTATATACCGTAGAGACTGTTGAATCGCAGGGAAGGCTCATAGCTGTGCTGCGAGTTGGAGGATATTGAAATACCAGCGTAGCGACCACTCAAACTCATATTCATCCCTAGCTTAGGGGCTAGCTCTGATCCCATTTCGCATATGAGGTCGTTCCTCGAGGAATTAGTACCAAGATACCTGTATTCCACGTTATCTGGGACCAAGTATGGCTTTTTCTCCCCTGGCGGCTGGGCTTTGTTTCCAGTTTTGGCCATCCCCACGATTAACCTCTGCGAGCCATTTTCCAGGACGGCTCTGTAATCGAAGGGGTCAATATCTTTTAAGCCATAAATTAGCAATTTGATGTAATTAACATAGACGTATACTACTTCATACATGGCAATAACATGTTCACTGCACGACCGAGTATATTGCATATTGGAAGGATTTCCGGACCCTCGTGAGAGGTCGACGCTGTATGCACGTCCATTTCGACACGTAAGGCAGCTGGATTTACTTTTCAAACCACATGAGCCTAAAGGGCTGTTTCCAGAAACAATGTAAAGCTTCATGGGTTTGCTAACATCGGAGTTTCATGAAGGAGACGGTAACTATGTTGGAGATATCGTGCGTGGTAAGGACGGCATTATTGAGTATGCTGCACATCTGCCATATATCACCTAGGAGAGTCGGTGCCACTGGATCGAAGTCAAGAAGTTACGTCATGCATACCGCAACTGCTGCCCTCGCCACATTGGTATATTTCCCGGGGCGGCAACGGTCGGTACCTCTAGGGAATGCTATACCTGCAGAGCGACATTAATGTCTGCCATACTTGTAGAGACCTCTGATTTGGCCGTCGACATGACTACGAAAACATTCTTGCGTGAAGCACCCGCACCGTGTAGCTATTTCCAAACTAAACGACCTACTTAAACTTGCCAACTAAATCCACAACACCAGTACTAGGCGCGAACTTACTGTATAGCCAATGCTAGAGTAATCACTTTACCCCACATTCTGTGAGCCTGAACTCATTGATGCATTGTGTTGAGTGTTTTAGGGCTCTGTAACCTAACTGCCAAGCGGGCCGCGCACATCCGTGTGACTACACATATATTGATTCTTGCATATTTATCTATTATTCAACAGGGTTTATCGGAGAGAAAATTATACCCGAATATATTATAGTAAATCTACTCCTAGAGCATTAGTACAATATTACGGGGGGTTTCAGAACTAGGCTCTCGTCGATAAGACTGCTTACGCCCGTCAGAGGTGCGTCAAGGCAGACATATTCCTTTTGTATTCCATGGTTAATGACTTAGTGTAAGTATCATAGGTAACTCTATATAGTGGGGAGCCATGGATTACCATGCTGAACAGAATTGTAGTCCTTGGGTGTTGCTGTCAGGGTTTCGTTCGCTAGCGTGAAAGATATTGTACGGCAGACCCTTGGGACAAAAGGGAAAAAACTGAAATTTCATGTTCACGCTAGTATTCTGCTGGCAGATACTTACATGACTTGCTTCGTTTCACCAGTTAGTTACTTATCCTGAGCATCACAGGTGCAAGCCCTTGCTCAGGTTGTTGTACACAGGGCCTGTATAACTAGGGTACTAGTATTGATATAGATTCTAAATAAGAGTTTATATATATCTCTATAGAACAATTGGATTATTTTTATCTCTATTCTTTTTATCTAAGATAATTAGATTCTCTGGTACTTTGCCTTTCTCAGGGTCTAAGTGTTAATTGTAGCTTAGAGAGCCATAGATAATAGAGAAATAGCATGCTACAGCACTGCAAGTAGCAGGAGTAGAGAACTGGATTTCTATTAAATAATCTACTACTATATACAGAGATTAATTACTGGCTTCTAAAGCTATTAGAATACAGTAAGGATTTTACTGCAGTAGATAGTATATAATTGTATATGCTACTGTATTAATCTCAGGTACTATAAGATACGCGTAATACTAAATTAATCAGATATATATAGATATTTTCTTTATTTCCTAGATTATATATATAGCTGTCTAAGATAGCTATACTCAGCAGGTAAAGTATATAGCTTCTTATATATTACTAATATATAATATAGGATTATAGTCTTTAGCTATAAATTAGTAATTGTTATAGATAAAATAGCGATTCAGCCTGATAGCTGTATAGGATACCCTAAGCCAGGTATATAAATAATCAGAATATATTATTTATATAAAGATCAGTAATCTCTGCCTTATAAGGCTCAAGATTAATTGCTGGACAAGGCATGATAATGGCTTGTATAATAGAATCTAACTCTTGTAGAAGTAAGCTACACCGCTGGTTTTAAAGAGATCTGAGCTCCAAGCAGGGCAGGCAGCAGGGCGGTAGACAAAATGATTACATGAAATTTCAGTTTTTTCCCTTTTGTCCCAAGGGTCTGCCGTATATTGGCCCTTTTGAAAGCATGGCTAGAGTATATGTAAGACCACATTTTCGCTTCCGAGTGGGACTACCTAACAGCGCTTGTGCCATTTTAGAAAACACCTGTCACGGTTTATATTGACCAAACGGCCCAGACAAAACGCACATATACTAACGGGCGGTAGTTGAATGGCAGTGTCGGCATAGTGGCGGAGTAAATGTACCATGTGGTTCATATTGTTCCCATATCTAATGAATGGTGACTTCACCCAGAATTGCGACTGAAGGTTTCCTAAACTTTATATCAATAAAGAGATTACGTCAAAAGCGTTGCATTACCATAACCTTGTTAATATTATCTACTAAGTATAAAAATGACTAAAAGGGGTTATTTTAGTCCATAAAGCCTTTGCTACAATTAGTCCCTATAAGAGGCGGCTGATTTTGCAGTAACAATTTTTCGTATTTTGAATTTTGAATGTGGTGTTTTTATGTTGCTATTAAAGCTTGGTATTGGAGATGTTTATCATACACTGACTATATCCGGTATTAAGATATCGCTACATCAAATTTTCCCTTCTCTAAATCCTAGTATTGCTGTTGCTGAATTCGCTTGGTATTACCGCTAGTTCTAATGAAGAGAAAGTAATCTAGATTAGAAACTCAGGGAGTATCCTAGGAGGGCGCACGGAAAACCGGATAAGCAGTCATCCATAATGGTAGTGGCAGGGATGATGGAACTCATTTAATGAATGTTTCAAGTCTAAGAATACTTTAAAAGGAAATCCCTTAGCTATCATCCAAAACTGCTCTAAAATAGCCACCCACAGAAGCCAAAGGATAACAAGCAATACAAGCCACTAGGAAAAGCTTGTTGGCCTCCCACCTGTCTTTTTTGTAGAGTCTGGCCCTGATTCGCTGTACTCTCGTGTATCTTTCTTCTTATTGGTTAATTCTGTTTCCTTAAGCGGTCTTGTAAGCAATCAGTGAATGAGTGGTAGTCATATAACCCTTTGTCTATAAGGGCAACATAACATAATAGCTTTATGTTTTCTTTTCTTTTCCTCTCTTTACTTAGTCTCTTCGTGATAGACTACCTAATCAATGATTGAATCAGGCAGAGTCCCTTACACTCCCTGGCTTTTTCTAGTTCCATTTTGAACTTCTTATATGGTATGCTACATCTCCTGTGCTTGCCACTATTCCTGATTTGCTCATTTATATATAGTGCTCGCATAATATACAGCTGGTTACAAAACAGTGCAGAAGTTCACGCTCAGACTGTTTCTCAAACTCCTATTTAAAACAAGCTAAGCCTCGTTAGTAAGATTATCCAAAAAGCTATTTACAAACTCATATATTTAATAATTATAAAATTGCCAATACTTCAATATACATTATAGTAATATTTAAAATTAGTTGTACCTCTAATCTCTTTGTTTCATAAGATCCCCATCTCTTTCATCTATGTAAGTTATTGCCACATCTGTCACCATTGTGGTACAGCCAGTTCGATGAAGTGTTCTTTGTACACCGGCAGCCCTATAGCAATATTTGGAGTCAGATCTGCTCTCCAGATCCTCATGGATTGAATCGCGGAATCTAAATTGAATGCCCTAAGCTAACTTAATTTCCACCCCGAGCGATCCGTGCTACATTGTACTGGATTGACTGGTAATAGTAAATGAGTCATTGCTGTGGTACCGCGATTTCCGATTGACTTAAGGCTGGTAGAGATTTGAATGGAAACCCTGCGCTCTACTATCTACTACGCCCTAGCTTAGCACTTTTCCACTAGGTAAGGTTCCTCCATGTATATGAGTTTATTTCGACCCACCTTGATTTCAGGCATCCTCCTGTATCCACATCCACATCCCAACGAACCAGAGACAGTGCCTGGGTCACGGAGCAATTCCTTTGTATTTTGGGATTGAATAGGCTGGCTTTAATGATCTGCAGGATTTTCTTTACTGATTGGCTCACATCGAATTCTATCACATACCCTGGACGTATATCGCGACAAAAAGGTGCTCCACAATGTGGACCCGTGATAGCTCCGTCTTTACACATGGACTTCTCAAGGTGTTTATCCTATTCGCACTACAGGTTTTCCTATTCACGGGAGCAAGAATTGGTGCTTTCATTCTAGATGCGAAACATAGGAACCAAAGGGGCCTCCGATATAAAGTAAGATAATCAGACCCAGATCCTTTGTCCACAGGTTTTGTCTTTCTGACATTTCATAGCATATCGAGCTTATCCTGTTGCTATATTACTGGCCCAACAGCTATGCCGTGCGAATACATCCCTGGAAGGGAATGAATAAATTGCCGTCGATTCCGGCGATGATTACGCGACCCAATATACAACGACCGATTCGGAGGTAACCTCCCTTCGTAGGAGCATCGCCGACTATATCTGCGAGAACGGCCGACGCTATGATGCGTACCACGCGGGATCGTATTGGGAATCTAACGACCAAAGTCCATTGATGCGAAGGAAATCTGCCATCACCTGTACGGGCTGATACTACATGGTCAATTATACTTCGCTCCAATAAAAGATCCCAAGCGGGTTCTCGACGTTGGTACAGGGACTGGATCATGGGCCGTCGAGTGTGCCGATGAACACCCGGACGCAACAGTCATTGGAACCGATCTTTCCCCGATCCAACCTAATTATGTCCCGCCGAACGTATATTTTGAGATTGGCGACTGCTGCGATGAATGGATTTACAAAGCGCCATTTTACTTTATCCATGTGTGCGGGCTATCCGGGTCTGTGTCGGATTGGGGGAGATTCTACGAGTAGGTTTTGAAGTATACATTCTATAGCCCAGTTCCTGCTGTTCATCCTAATTCTATTGATATATAGACACCTTCAACCCTGAGCATACCTGGAACAGGTCGAAATGGGCGTCAACCTCGTGTCAGATGACGGAAGCACTATAGGCACTGTGTACGAAACCTGTGGCACAAAGAGCCTCGAAGCGGGCGACAAATTCGGCAAATCATTGCGTATTGTCGACGAATTGAAGCATTGAATGATTGACGCTGGCTTTGTTAACGTGGTTGAGCGGCGGTACAAGTTGCCCATGGGTCCTTGGCCGAAAGGCCCGCATCTTGGAGGACCTGGCTTTCGGATCGTTGTGGACGAGAGTCTAGAGATGTGGGCGACGATGCTGTATACTAAGGTCCTTGGAGTAACTGGAACCTTTCAAGGGGTATAGACAGTAGCTAATGAGGTATGCTAGTGGACGAGAGAGGAGGTCGAGATGATCTTTGCAAAAATGCGGGAGGAGATCAATAATCCAAGTCTGCACGCGGACATCGAGCTATCAGTGTTGTATGGGCAGAAACCCGAGATTTAGCCTTTGCCGTGATTCCATGGAAGCCAATGGCAAATATTGACATATTGTTAGATATCAGAGCAGCGTCAAGGCCGACAAAGACTCGGCGTCAGCCAGTTTACCCCTTTTTGTCCCTGCCAATTGGAAGAGTTGCTTGCCCATCCCCAAATTCGCAACGTTGGAAATTAGTATAGGCTTATGACACGGATCATGGAAGTCGGAAGGTAACAATTATTGAGCCCTTGTCAGGGCCTTTAGGTGGAACTCTGCCTGAGGCACCAAGACTGCTTATTCACTGTTGATCAGATCCCACAACATTGATACCCCACAGTTCCTGTATGATAGAATGCTTTCCTTCTTTCTCTTTCCTTCTCTACGTTTGATGTTTCGTTAGATCACCGCGTTAGATATGAATGATACATTGTTCCAATGTGTATACGATCATCACAACCTTGTTGATCTCGGGCATCCTGTCCGAGAAGTGCCGTCCATGTTAAGGTTGAATCTTCTCCTATAGAGCCGAGATCTTGTGCCGCTTGGTTTAGTATAATTATGAAACGTCCGTCCTGAACATCTCTTCTCACGATCCGGGTCTTCCTTGAACACGTCATTTCGATTATTGACTATCAGCTATTGATCTTGTATCTTAATGCGATAGAGAAGCTCGGTGCATATAATCCTCAATATTTCAGTATTATTCCCGAGACAGATAAACCCTGTGAGCAGTTGGACAGTGAATGAAACTGATTGAAATGCAACCGATTAGGCGGATACTCAGTGCTCACGGAAAACCAATCAACATCATTTGAGAACTACCTTATACTGACATGCTGTATTGACTTGTTGGGCAAACTTCTACCCCTTTCTTCCCCTTGTGCACAGCTTTATGACCCTGAAACAAGATGGGAGCTGTGTGCAAGGTCCTAGTCACACTTTGCATGTCTCCAGACCAACCGCAGGATCTCTTATTTAATCGAGTGCTAGTAGACTCAATGGCGAGAATTTACAAAAGATGATTTCTGTGAAAAGCTTAAAAATACACCCCATATTCAATTGGTATACTTTCATTATTGTAAGATTAATAAACAGCTTTTGCAAATACAAATATTTCCATGGTATACAGCCAAGAAAGGGTCTGGCCTTGTCTAGATTCAACTGGTACAACTGCTTGTTGTACTCTTATTATTCGTTTTACAACACTTAGCTATTTATTAAGTAGCACCTGACACAGGAATAATTAATTAGGTTCATTACTACTTGATAGTTTTTATAAATGGAATTTCAGAATATAAATAATAGACGGAGAAGGAAATACGTGACATCAAACATTGTACTAGTGCTTCCGTTCCAGAGCGGCCTATGGAGAGCATCATATAGTATAAAACCAACCAAATTGCCCCTTAATACTCCTAGCTATAGGGCGAATCTGTTTTTATTGAGTTTGTCCGCTGGGCCCCGTGCATTCGAATCAACAATGGCCATGAGATTGCGGTAACTCCTGTCATCATTCCCTTGAAGGAATGCTGTTTGGTTCGCCTCGGAGTCGTGATATCGAGCCCCGTACTTGTCACTCACATCACAATATGGGAATACTCTGACATCGGGCTCCACCTCAAGTTTCCATCGCACCTGCTCGACCAAGTTTGGATCTGCGTAGTTGTCTTCTAGATAGAGCAGCTCATCTTGATCCGCACAACTTAACTGAAAAGACGTAAGACGAGAAGGGGATTCTTGTGCCAGAGCACTAAATATTTCGCTCCAGGATAGCCATCCTTCGCCCTGCCTTGCCTTGTATGCGTAGCAGTGTTGCAACAAAATTGATTCTAACGTGTCAAGATGTCTGATGAGGAAGTCGCGCAATTCGAAGCAGATAATGATATTAGTGAGAGTAAGTCTCCGCAGCATTGGCATACTAGCATTCCTCAAGCCGATGTCGTCGCAATAAGCCTGCCCTGCATTGCCGAGCGATGCAGAGTCCCGTGGGTCGAAACTAAATTCTTCAACGGAAGAAAGGTGGTGGAAGAACCACGGGCCAAGGTAGTCGGGCAATCCTTGGAAGATGCTTTGGGTATTGAGCATCCAACCCACGCCGTTATCCCACCGCTTTAGCGACATATCAAAATTCTTCAGCCGCGACAAGGCAGTGTGGAATTCATCCATAGAAAATACCGATAGGGCCACGATGTTCAGATCGTGGATGCTGAGGGATCGAGGCACTAGATCACCTGGGTGGCATTGCGAACGATAGCCCGATACAATGGCGCGGAAACTTGCCGCCATTAGCCCATGCCAGGCGTTTCTTCTTTCCTCGGTCGCAGCCGCTTCGAGGCTTTCATTGAAATCGTCCTGGAAGTAATCATATAATTCCTCGTAGTCAAAGGGAAACTCGATGCTCAGCTTTTCAAGTCCCTTGAACCGGACTAGGCTCGACAGAACGTTGTCGACTTCCGGCGGATAAACTTCTTCAAGTGGCAACATCCGCTGGTCTAGATTGAGGACGGTCAGTTCTCAAGGGGATCTTGCGCTTTGGGGACTGACACCTATCGGGATCTCACAGACCTGGCTCACAGATGCCAACATACCGCAGCTCCTTGACGCAACCAGAGAAGCTTCCGTTGGCAATTGACTTGATAGATAGGGAACTCTTTGTCGTGTTCCGAAGATATAGGGTCGCAAATATGCGTGGAGCAAGGAGGTTCCGAAACCATGTAGAAGTGCTGCTCAGACTGATAAGGTCATGGAGATTGGGAAAGAGTTTGGCTAAACTCTTGGGTCGCCAACCGTCAAGGCCTTCTCTTTCTCCTTCTTCTTCTCCCTCCTCCTCATCTACAATGTCTTTCGGTAAAGGTGGCTGAGTTAGGATGTCGACTATCATATACCACACGTCGTTTACGACAGACAGGCGCGGCGTGGGTTGGGGCTCCTCTGTGGGGGGTGAAGGCGCCATAGTGGGATTGGTCTACTGGGGCAAAAGTAACCGTGAAATATTTTGGGCCCATCCTTTGCGACTTATTAGGTTTTTTACGCTCCGTGAGGATGACCAGGCAACAACCGATTCATGAGTGGCTGCGTGCAAGGCAGCCTAGTACCCTTAGTGAACAGAACTAGTGAACCAGAGTGTATTAGTGCCTCCCAGTGCCTCCTCCTCCCCACCGCCTTCGGCTTAGGGGTGCACCGCACCGTAATGGAAGAATTGATATTATTCCCATTACCCTCGCCGTTCACCTTTATTATCTATATTATCTACCCAGAAGCCCTCTCTACCTTGTAGCGCTGCCGCTGCTGCATCGGATGATATAAAACTTTCTCCTGTCAGTGCCCTGGGCGGCGATTGGCCGTACATTTTTCTCCACTGCTTATGTAACCTTTTCTTCTCCTGTATAGCATCTTTTTCTCTCCTGGCCTTTATTGATCGATTGGCATCCTTTGTACTGAGTATACCAGAGCCTCCGAGCCGGGCAACCTCCCTCTTAGTGAGTTGGCGTCTTCGGGGGGTTGTATCTCTCTCATGCAGTCGACTGTATCGCTCATCATTGCAAGCTCCTCTGCTTGTCTTTTGTGGTGGTAGAACGCACGCTGTAGGCCTCGCTGGAGCTTCGGAGTAAACTCCTTAATAGTAATTTGGGAGTTTTCCCTGATTCTTTTTGAGATCCTGGGTACTCTTTTGGAGTGTATTTTCTACGCTAGAAGAGGAGAGATTTGGAGGTGGTGTAGTCTCCCGTACGTTCGAAGATCGGGCGCAGAAAGCTCTGGTACAGGAGGAAGTACACGTTGAAGCTTTTGGATAATACTAGAGCTATCTAGAGAGACGATTCCACGTTCTTTGAAAGAATTTTGGATGTTTCGCTGGTTAAAAGTCCTAGCTCGAACGTTGACGATACTCTTCAGAGAATCTGCCTTTCTCGCCGGGAGCCCACCCCACTGAGTAATAAGATTAGACGAAAATGCTGTGTATAAGCAAGGAAAGGCTTTCTACCGAGAGGCTGGCAAATATGAATCAAATAATTTGTACCATCGAATGGCTATATGCAGCAGAGTCCTATGACAAATACTCACTAGTACCGATTAACTCTAGATTACCAACTTTTATGGTTGCTCGAGCGAAAAGCTCTCGCAATTGGGGGACAAATCGAACCTCACTAGCCTTTGAATGTTCTCGGTGTAAGACAAGGCTGCCTTCAAGCCTCTGTTATGATCTTTAATGTGACTGGGTGTTTTGACGATCCTTACGATGGATGATTTGGCATTAAATGAGATTTCCTGTAACTTAACTTAAAGCTTGGTATTTGCTCCGGCGCCAAATGGTTTAAGATCTGGGGTTCCCTCCATCATGGCCTCCAGTGCCTCTGGATACTCAACACGTGCTGATGCTAATGCACCCAGCCGCCATGCTGCGCCATCAACCACTTGTAACGTCCCATTGATAAAGTTTCCAGTGTCGCTGAACAGATAGATGGTAGCGTCGGCGATCTCTTTCTTTCGGCCCCATCGACCAAGGGGTACACCTTTTCTGGCTGTTTTCTCTCCATCTGCAGCAGCTAGGCGTCTCATACCCTCAGTGTCAGAGATAGGACCAGGAGCAATAACATTGGATGTTATCCCCATAGGCCCGTATTCAATTGCAATAGAGGACGACAGTGAATCTACTCCCGCCTTTCCCGCACCAACATGGGCCTGAAAGGGAGTTCCGGCATAGTGTAGTGTTGCAGATATGAAGATGATACGGCCACCGGTGCCCAAGGGGCTACCTAAAATCCAGTTTAACCATGAGATCAGGAAGGAACAATCTATAGAGAAGTCGTACCTAAACTGTCTGCTGACCTATGTTTTAACGCGGACCTCAGCAAGTAAGGTACTGTCGCTTTGAAAGTGTTATAAGAACCAGTGAGGTCAATGTCGATGACAGACTTGAAAGCATTGGCAGAAAGTCGTGAGATTGGAGCAACGAAGTTTCCAGCTGCACCGGCACTGTTTAATTATTGAGTGTAAATAAATAATCATATTCTAGGGTAATGGGTGATGCCAACTCACATTACAAAGTCGATGGCGCCAAGCTCCTCCGCGCACTTAGCCGCTGCCGCAGTAATACTCTCCGGCTTCCGAACATCAACACCGCCAATCCCTATAACTTTTGCGCCATCCCGACTCCTAGCAATATCGGCGGCCACCTGTCTTGTCTTTTCGGGATTGCGGCCAACAATAGCGGCATTAGCGCCCAATAGAACTAACGCGCGAACCTGAACACTGCAGATGGACCCGGCACCACCTGTACAAAAGACGACCTTATTGCCTGAGATCAATCAGCACTTTGTTGGTCGCGAATATGGTTCTCTCCCGCCTTACGAAAGATGTTGTCTCGCCAAACCTCGCTCAACACGTCCGTTCTCGATGGAAACATTGCGGTTGTTGGGAATCTGACATTAACACACGAGAGTTTGAAATTAATCTCCACGTCCACTGAGGGACACACCGGTCACATATATATTAACCCCTGGCAAATAGGGACTAAGCAGCCACATGAACTTTGCGAAGTCATTCCACGCGTCCTCAGCTGTACGCTTTCATTCCGGAAAGCTTTCCTCCGATCGCAACATGCCGAGGCTGATCAGCATTTTAGCATGAAAACGTCCTCAGCACTCAGTAAGCCTGCTCATAGCCGGCGTTAGGGTCCCCACCACTGGGTTACATATCGGTCGGGGGAATATACTTGTGGGGGATCTCCGCGGCAAATGCCAGGTTACAGGTCGGATTTCTTTGAAGCGGCACCTGACCTGTGTACTCCGGCAATGCGGGCCGATCGAGTATTCGGCATGATGACCAATACAGAAATACACAGAGTATGCCGAGGATATGGAGCTAAGTATTCCAAGGCAGAAATCGGTAGTAACATCTACTAATACTACTTATCCTACCTCCAGTCCAATTTTAGACTACTTCGTCCGACCCGCTATTATTTCTTATTGTATTTTCTTGACTATCGGCATCCTCGTCCAGGAGTATTATTCCTGAGTCCTTTGGTCTGTGTCTGTTGATTGCACATCAGACAATTTACCAGTCGCGTATTGCTCTCCCAGCTGCGAGAAATCATAGCGGCAACGACCAATATTTATCGGCATGGCTACCATAAATACAAGGTACCCCTACAAATATTTTACGGTCCGCTTCCCAATCGAACGACCGTATGTCGCCCATGTGGAGATTAATCGAGCTGATAAATTAAATACATTCATTGAAGCGTATGTTACGTCTGATCTAGCACACTGTCCTGCCGATGCTCCCATCCATATAATGTTTTGCTCTTATAGATTCTAGCAGTACATTAACAGAAATGATAGGATGTGGTTGGAGATGCGGCATGTTTTTGACCAGCTATCATCGGATTCGTCAGTACGAGCTATTGTGCTCACTGGTGCCGGTAATCGGGCCTTTAGTGCAGGGCTTGATGTGAAGCAAGCTTCGACCGAGCTATTCAGTGACAAAGGAGGTTCTGACGCTGCACGTAAATCATTCCATATTCGACGCTATATACACCAGTTCCAAGAATGTCTTACAGCTATTGAGCGCTGCGAGAAGCCTGTCATTTGTGCCATGCATGGCTTCTCGTATGGATTTGCCATTGATATTTCTGCCGCTGCTGATATCAGACTCTGCACTAGAGATGTCCAGTTTTCTGTCAAGGAAGTTGATATTGGAATGGCCGCAGATATTGGTGTCCTAAGCCGGCTTCCAAAGGTTGTTGGTAACATTGGCTGGGTCAAGGAGGTGGCCCTGTCTGCGAGAATTTTTGGTGCTGAGGAGGCGCTGCAGGTTGGCTTTGTCAATACAGTATATGACACTAAGCAGGCTGCCGTGGAGGGTTCCTTGGAACTTGCCAGTCTCATTGCGCAAAAGAGCCCTGTTGCTGTCCTGGGGACAAAGGAGTTGCTGAACTATTCCAGGGATCATTCCATTCAGGAAGGTAAGCACTGGAACCTTTTTACACCCCGATATCCGTTTCGTAACCAGCCATATAAATCCCGTCCCTACTCCATGACACTAACCTTGACAAGGTCTTCGCTACACCGCCGTTTGGAACAGTGGTGCTATACAAACAGGAGACGTGCGGACTGCCTTAATGTCAGGTCTGGAAAAACGGATCCCGAAATTCGAGAAATTATAAGCGTCAGTGGAACAAAGGGGAGAATCGAGTTATCCGAGGCTAAACTTGTATCAATCTCGATTTAGTTGCGTGGGGGAAATAAGTATAAAGATATGACCTTTCATAGCCTAGAGTCAAGTAGTAGCTACGTGTTAAAAAACAATGCGTCTTCAGTAACAGAAAGACATAATGACCTCTAATTTCGACCTTCCGCACATTTTTCGGCGGATAGCACTAACTGTACGCTTCTGAGATTTATTGTAAATAAAGCTGCGTTGTCTATGAACGAAGGATGGAATATCAACAGCAACAACTTCACCAGGACCAGGGCAAAGTTTCGATCCTGATAAGAATTTGACATAACTATATCGTTGATAGATTCCTGCACAGGATATCTCACTTTCATACGGATGCTGAAACTTGCAACGTTTGTCGACCTCCAACCATACAAGGCCATGCGGCAGAGTGACCAGGTTACTATAGCATAAGATAAGCACTTTGATTGGATATAATCTTGTATAGGATAACTATGTACATTTATATGTGTATATATACGCACGTCTGTATCTGCATATCGCAATGCTATGAAATTAGCGGGACAGAATGAATATTTTTGTCAGCGGGAAGGCTAGGGCCTATATCTTGGATTCGGCGTTGGCTTTTCAACTTGTCCAGTTGGTTAATGAAGATAGCACAGCGAAAATTTCCTTCTTTCAATTCCCATCATATTCATCCTCTTGAGGAATTTTGTGGGGGAATCCCGACGGAGTGTTTATTAACGATATGAACTTTCACATGCTCCCCACGTCTGAGACGGTCACAGGCGTTCAAGGCAGACACATGTCATATCTCAGGTAAAGTAGGTTTCACTATGCAACGACCAGATAGATCCTCAATGTGGCGCCCAGAAAGAAGCAGTGTGAACTCGGGGAAGAACCGCGGCCCCGAGGAACCTTTGTGGAGTAACCCCAGAGGGTCGGCTCAACCCCTCGTCGAATGTCCCGAATGCCCATAGTATTCCAGATGCGACTTTATCTCTCACTGTTAGACAATATAATACGTAATCATGGAAGCGTAGTAAGATATTATACAACTAAGCAAGCGTATGGCTGCTTCTCCGCAGTCTATACATCGTCCTTTTTTACGAATTTTAAATTCCGTCCCTACTTCATATATACCCCTCTGTTGGCTCAGCTCGCTTCTTTTGCGCACTTTTCCTATTTATCGCGTATCTGCGTCTAGATATATGGTTATATAGTCTTTTACCCCTTTTAGCAAAGTTGGGTTTCCTGAATTGCCCCAGGGGAAATATTGCCCCTACCGCTGTTGGCCACGATGTTCTACACCCAGCAACCCACTCACATCGCCCGCGCCACCGAGCTGAACCAAGAACCTCCAAATGGCATTCCCTACTCTGTTGCCATATCTGGCTCGGAGAAGCCTGGGCGGAGCAAGGTTTACCGTGCCTGGAATGCGCAGAAGGAGCTGGTGAAATCTCTAGATCCGAAGGTATATTGCATAACGTCGGGGGGGGAAGGACTTTCCAAATGGTGAAGCCAGGATTCCTAACTAACATACCATGCAGATTCTCACTGTCCATGACATGTTCGAGTCAACTGCGAACCGAGTTCCCAGGCATCATTGTCTCGGATGGCGTCCCTACCATCCGGCCACTAAGACCTATGGGCTTTACCATTGGATCGATTATGAAACTGTCCAGAAGCGACGGGCCAACTTTGGTGCTGGCCTGGTAGAACTTCATATCTCACACGGTTGCTCTCGTCCTGACCAGTACGGTATTGGCATCTGGTGTCAAAACAGGCCTGAGTGGCAGATCACAGGTATGCCATTACTCCCTTGCAGAGCCATCCTTGTTTTAGTGATATATCGCTTAAGTCTCTCCTGATCAGACCTCGCATGCATGTCCCAAGACCTGTACTCTGTGTCCATTTATGATGTCTTCGCCTCGGACGCCGTTGAATATATTATTAACCACGCAGAGTTAAATTGTATTGTGACCTCCCTGCCGCACATAGCTACCTTGCTTAAGCTAAAACCTATGCTACCCGCACTTAAGATTATTGTTAGCTTGGATCCTCTTGATAATGGCGAGCAGGATGGCCACTCAAAGCATGCCCTCCTAACGTCCCTTGCTGGAGAGGATGTTTCAATATATACTATGGATCAAGTCGTGAAACTGGGCGCTTCTGCCAGCCGCCCCTACAAGCCGCCAAAACCTTCGAGCATCATTACCATTAACTATACCTCTGGTACCACAGGTGCTCCAAAAGGTGTAGTCCTGACCCACCAGAATGCAGTGGCGGCAACCTCCGCCGCCCTTGGGATGATCCCCCAGGTCCCAGATGATACTTTGGCGTCATATCTGCCGTTGGCTCACATCTATGCTCGTTTGGTAGAACATGGAGCTTTCTGGGCTGGTGCTCGAATTGGCTATTTCCATGGAAATATTGTTGAGTTAGTCGATGACCTGAAACTTCTCAAGCCCACCAGGTTTATCTCCGTTCCTCGACTTTACAGTCGTTTTGGAAATGCCATACGCTCGTCAACTATTGAAGCTCCCGGCTATAAAGGCGCCTTGTCAAGGTACATTATGGCAGTTAAAACCGCCCGTTTATCGACTTCTCACCCTTCTGTGGCCACTGTAAAGCATGCCTTGTATGACAGACTTTGGTCTAAAAAAGTGGCAGCCGCCCTTGGATTGGAACGTGCCTATTTAATGATCTCCGGATCGGCTCCCCTGGATCCATCCCTGCATACCTTCTTGCGTGCTGCAGTTGGTACTGATTTTATCCAGGGCTATGGCTTAACCGAGTCATACTCCATAATATCCGGCCAGGCTCCAAATGATCTTACGGTGGGCAACTGCGGGCGCCTTGCTCCATGTACTGAAGTTTGCCTGCTTTCTCTCCCTGATATGGAGTACTACGTGGATGACAAGCCTTACCCTCGAGGTGAGCTACTAATACGGGGCCCAAATCTGTTTCGTGAATATTTTAAGAATCCCGAAGAGACGGCCAATGCAATAACGGAAGACGGGTGGTTTCAAACAGGCGATATCTGCACCTTTGATGAGAGGGGCCGTTTTATTATTATTGATCGCCGGAAGAATATTCTCAAGCTTGCACAAGGGGAGTATATTTCTCCTGAACGCTCGGAGGGAATATATTTATCGGAGCCGGGCTACATTGCCCAGTGTTATATCCATGGTGATAGTGACCAGACCTTCTTGGTTGGCATCTTCGGTATACAGCCTGATTTGTTTGCGCCATTTGCCAGTAAGGTGCTTGGTCGGACAATCGCACCAACTGACATCGAGAAGATGAAGTCAATACTCAATGACGACAATATCCGGAGAGCCGTGCTGCGGGATCTTGAGAGAGTGGCGAAGAAGCACAAGATGGCTGGGTATGAGAGAGTGAAGAATTGTGTTTTGATGTTGGAGCCATTCACCGTACAGAATAATCTTTTGACTCCAACGTGAGTATTATCCTCTTCCGTCTGGGTGGCATTTAGGTACACAAGTGCTGATAGCTAGCGGTATAGTCTCAAACTTAAGCGCCCTCTTATTGTAAAGCAGTATCGTCAGCTTTTGCATAAGCTGTACGCGGATGCCATTGCCGATCAATCTGCTGTCGGGGCTAAGCTGTAACCGAGTATCAGCAGTTGTTAATGGGGATCTCAATGAGTCTCTTTACCCATAGTGACATATATATATTTTCTATTTTAGCGCCTGGTTGATAATCTCTCCTATTTTTATACATGTCCTGTTCTACACATTGGACGGTGTACGGATGGATGCCCTTGGCTGTGTACGAAAAAGCATTAAGTGTATCTCGAATGTTCTTTATCTCGGAGACACTTCAGCTTTTCGTGTCCTCCTTTGGGAAAAACTCATACTTGAGTATGAGAGCCGATTTTCCATAAACCTATCGACTACTTGTAGAGACCTATACTATTGAACTATGCGTATAATGAATTGTAACAGAGGGTCTAATCGTCTAGACATGATTGGCTATCGAAAAGCCTACGCACAACGAGGGTGATCACTCTATGTAGTGTACAATATACATCCAACTCTAGCATATATGTGAAGAAGAGTGGCAAGCAGTGAAGCCTGCAGCGTCTGTTCAGACACCGATATTAAAGCCCGGGGCATAAAAGCCTTAACAGTACTGGAAAAATATCATTAAGGGATTCCGCTCCAGAAACAGGAACGAAGACCATTCTCCTCGATCGATATACCCTGGTTATCTATTACTGTGGCCAATGAAGATCAGCTTTTTCATTGTGAAATAGAACGACTACCAATCCCATCTAGCCTTATTGTTAACTTCGTGACTAATACCTAGCTGGAGGGTCTAACGTAATCTTCCACCGAGCCGGCCGCCTCACCCGATTTCTAGGCCGTCTAGCCAATTAAGGCCATTCGAAACACCCGAAAATTGCAATCCTATATAAAATTCAACGATGAAATCTGGTAGGGCAGTTGGTAATCTTATGAGCCTGAATTTTGCATGCAGAATGCCGATTCTTCTTCAAATTCGGACAGTACGGCTAAAAGATGTCATACCATGTCTTCAGTACCTTGTTTTCAAGAGTCTCTCAGTGGCAATTGTAGGGCACGTAGAAGACGTGCCTCTAAGATACTAGCTATATGTTTCAAATAAGTTAAATTTTTGGACTTTAACTAAGATCCTAGATATATATAAGTATTGCTCTCGTAGTACGTTGCTTTAGGGGCTCGTGGTAAAAACATATATTTCTATCATATGGAACGTGAATCAACAGGGTCGTTCGCCGGTCATGAAGCTGGAATTCGTTTCCTGCAGACGGACTGAATCAATCTTGATGCCATTAGACATGTCGTGCGTAACGAAAATAAAGCGGCAGGAGTACTTTCTCTGCACACCGATGCACAAATAATGGATTCTCTGGGAATCAGGGTGGTAGCGCAAGGAGTTCAAAAATGACCAGCTACGCGGACCATGCCCTAAACCGAGGAGAATCAGCAACTTGAAAACAGGAATAACGGCCCAGCTAACCGTGCAACAGGTTCAGGGTGATTCAGGGTGTCCTCCGATCAATACTAATGCCCTCCTAGCTCCATCTCAATCATCGATGCCTACGCCGTCCGCTATTGAAGCTATGTCTTCAAAGCCCCACTCTGCTGACCTAATCCTGATTCATGGACTGCTGGATATAGCCATGGAGGGATATACCAACTGGTAATGGTCTCGAGTGAGACACAGGACCTTCAGGGACAATATTAACAAACCTCGCGACGTGACTTTAGAGAACTGTCTAGATTTATGACTCACAAAGACTCAGGTTTCTTTGTCAAGTATGGCGTGAAAGTAGGTGCCGCACGTCGGTTCGTTCACGATATTGACCTTCAGGTAAAGGAGGCTCTTTGGGAATTACCCACTGGTAGACTTTCCGTCTTGGTCTTTAGGTGATGATAAAAACCACTTGTGGGGACTAGATGCTGCTCGGATGCAAAGTTTCCACAGGCTTGGTACGTACTTGCTCGATCTATGAAGCCGTTCTATATTTGTGGTTTCTTGATAAGTATGTATAATATTATAATTTTATAAAGAGACTGGTTTCGTAATACTACTTTGCCATCCAATAGCTCTCTCAAACCCATTTTTGCCATTTCGAAAGTCCGATATCGCCTCGTATATTTCCTCTTCACTAGTGCAAACGAAAGGCCCGTAATGTACAATTCGTTGGTTCAGAGGCTCCCCCGAAAGAAGTAGGAAACGGGCAGCACGCGGCTCATCTTCCGGGACCGATGCTTCGATGTGCGTACCTGCTCCATGGAAGATGACAGTGTGATATTGTCTAGCGCGGACGCTAGAAGCTTCAGAGTGAAATGTCATTGTGCCTTCCAGTATATAAGCAAAGGTGTTCCAACCGACTGGTACAATTTGTTTGATGCTACCGCCCGGTCTAATTTCAATGTCGAGGTACCAAATTGGTGTATATGTCAGGTCGTTTTTCGATTCTACGCCGTGCGACTGTCCAGCGATCACAGTGATAGCCACACAGCCATTATCCACTTCCACCCTGGGAACCTCAGACACGTTGACGTATCTATATCTCGGCTCAACATATTTCAGAGCTTTGGGCAGGTCGACCCATAGCTGGATCCCCACCCCAGGGCTGCCATCCGGATTTCCACGCGGCATCTCGGCATGCATGATTCCGCGACCGGCGGTCATAAACTGTAAGTCCCCAGGTCCGAGAGTGCCTTTATGCCCGGTGAAGTCTTCGTGGTCAGAGTAACCGGCCAGGCAGTAAGTGACAGTCTCCTGGCCACGGTGAGGGTGCTCAGGAAATCCTGCATCTGGCCCAACTGTAGCATGGTCAAGTAATAAGAAGGGACTGAAATTGCGTAGCTGTTGGCTGCCAATGGAACGACGAACTCGCGCGCCCGCCCCTTCTGTCACGTCTATCGCTGCAAAGATCGTTTTTATCTTACGTGCTGTATTCATCTTGTGTTGCTCATTAACCTTGTGAACAGCGGTTGGTTAAACGGGGTGTAGTAGGAAGACAAGAAGAAAAATAGGATTGACTATATAAACTCTGATAGACGGAGAGATCTGTTCTTTTATATCAAGCAGTGTGGCACTCGAGTTACAGTAGCATAGTAGGGACGACGGACTGGCCAAATCTAAAGTGCTTATGGAATGACCCAATGATTAGGAAGCTGCTTCAAATCGTAAGTCGCAGGACAAGGTTGTCACAAACTCCTTTACGCCTTCACCTGAAAGCGGTTGACTAATAATGACAAATACATGCCAAGCCTTTTAGGAACTGCTCTTGCTTTCCCTATTTCGGGAGTAGTTAGCAGAATTTCGATTTCACGTAATCATTAATAAGTACGAAGGGAGGGCCACGGGTTAACGTTATTTTGAGCCCCTGGCAAGTTCGCCGGGTAACTGCTATCGTCGAGCAGCTGGGACGATGGATTTCTACCTCGGGTTAAACCATATTAGTAGTTAGTATCCTCTCGTTTCGTGGAGCGGAACCCAAAAAGAATCTAGGTGGTGCGGGTTAGGGCCGAACTGTAGAGTTTTCTGTGGTTGTCGAGCCCGCCCAACCAACCCATAGAAAATTAGAGAAAAGGGTTATGAAAACCATGCACTGATCATCTCCTCGACTCCTACTCGAGACCGAAACTGGTCTTGCTTTTCCAGTGGATGTGGTATCGCCTAGGGAGGAGACAGGCCTTCACTAACTAAACTTGTATCCTCAGTTTCGTAGACCTCTCGAACAGTCAAAGGTATGCCTCCAAAAAAAAAATAAAAATAAAAAAATAAACATGTCGAGGTTCGTTGCCAGATTCCACGCCTATGGCGGAATAGATGGTCAGCATATCTGATCAAGGCCGCCCGTAGCAGAGCCTTAACGCTGGGCTTCTAACCAGAGTACCTGCTGTCTCTCTACCAGGCTCGCACTCTCCACCATGCAACTAATTATATTATCTCTCACCTCCTGAGTCTATCTAAATTATGCTTCAAGTTTTCTATTATACGTCAGTCTTCAGTCTTCACGCTCAGAGGTGTCCTGTTTCGGTACTCGGCAGGTTATCTAGGATCACCACAACCGCCAGGAGAAAGAGAAATTCCATTCTGCACACTGTGGTCTGACAACGCGAGCGTTTGATGCAGCCCTTCCCAGGAAGCACACGAAAGCTCTTTACGACAGCCTATTGAAACTGCGGGCGCTTTTTAGTACAGTTGCGTACGGGACACATTCGGCTAAACCGTCACTCCAGAGAATTCGCTATCTTGATGGCAACACATGTAGGTGTGGAAGGGATGCTCATGACGGAGAGATAGTCGAACACTTCCTCCCCCACTGTCTGAAATGGTCATCTACAGTAGGAGATGGGAAACGCAATGGGGTGGAAGTATGAAGATATTTCTTTCGCATTAGGAGGAAGATTCCATGCTGTTTTACCTGACGGTCAAGCAGTTGATAGAGCAAAGCCGTAGAAACCAAGCCCGACAACGGTTTATAGCGAACATATGGCGATTTGAGAGCGAAATAGACATTTCAAACGAAGAGGTGTACGTAAATGTAACATAGCTCTAGTTCATACTTGCTAGGGGCTACATGCGGCCTTCAGCTGCAAAAAAGCCTCAATAATACTACTACGACAACGATGACCACGGTGGTGGACGTATTCGTGCGACCCTTAACAGGAATAGCGTATCAAGCGTTATACAGTGTACGGACCTGTATGATAAAATAATCAATTGCCCTGAAGCGAGGAACGAGTCAAAGGTCAAATGGGGGTTCTTATGGGGTGAGCTGCCTGCGAAGTTTGGCTGTGAACTTTTCGCCAGCACTTATCCTCATTCACTGGTTAGCCTCTTGGCTCCCACTTGCTATTACGCTGTCCTATTCATCTTTGGTTTAGAGGTCTGGCCTGAACTGGACACAGAACGACCCATACTGCGAGCTCCATACGAAGCCAAGTGCACTGGGTGCATAAGGGATGTAGCGCTAAGAGGCGGGATATTACATGCGGCGCCACAGAGCGAAGTTATTGCAGAGCAGCCAAGCATCGATGCGTTAAGAAGAATGCAGACAGGCCAGGGCGCACCCTTCTCCGCCACATCAGCACAGCCTTCGTAAAAGTTCCTTATCTACTAATTAACCTGGGTTAGAGTATTTATAGTATATGGTCACAAGGAAATTACCTAAAAATGGTTAACGCACACTAATGCGCGTGCCTTCGTATAATATTGCATATATCATTTCATGTTTATTTCGGAAAAGGATACTGCTTACCCCAGCCCCTGCAAGTACAGGAGTATATTTGCTCCATGGGCGTAATAATACTTGTATATTGAAGGCATAGGTCTTCACGCCTAAGAACTCAGAAGACTACAATTGTAGCATTAACCAACTTTCAGCAAAGCCGCCCAAGATCTAATACTGAGGGACGTCACAGGTATGGGCACAGGCCTTCAGGAGAACAGAAAATAACGTGATTTACAAGTGATCGTAGCTCAAAACGTTAGTCTACAGTATAGATCGTGCTCTAGTGTATCTTGCATAATGTCAAGAAAAGGCTTGAATGATTTGGTGCAGACCAGAACTGTGTTATTCAAATTCTAGGTTCGTCGCACAGGCAACACATATCCATAGTAATAATTGAGTAAGCCACAGACTTGGTGAGGCTATATTATATATCTCTGGGTTGGCTATAAACTGAAATGATGGGGAAAGAATGGGGAAGATTGTGTACTCCGTGATATGCCATATTTACTAAACCAGATATTGCACACTATTCCTAACCGGGATAGGATATGGATTCCCCGTGAGAAAATATAAGCCAAACCCGAAACATGATGGCCGATTCCACGGCTTGGAACAGTCACGGGTATTGATTAAGAATAGAGTAACCTGGCGTTTTGTGGACCCTCAAGATTCATCCTCGTTCAGCTAGTGTAAAAACAAATAACTATCAAACCGGCAAAATATAAGCCCCAACGAATGAGGATCTACAGCTTACAAGTTTGCACCCTGGCGGAGTGGGCCATAAAGAGCAGAGTAGATTTGCCTTAATGAGTTGTCATCAAATAACCAGAGATAGGAGAAATAACATTTTGCCCACTTCACATCAGTGTTTATTAGTAATTTGTTCCCATCAGCTACGCATACCAAGCTGTCGAGATGCATCCGAAGCGAATAATTAGCCTTTCAGCTAACTAGAGCTCAATCACTAGTTTCAGTCGGTTACAAGTCCAGCAGCTTTGATACTGACAGAATATTTATACCTGGATGGTTCCCGTTTGCCCAGAATAATATACCTATTTTAGGCCTTCTTGGTTTATAAGGGAACACGTACGGGCATCAATCATGGAGATATGTACGCCCCCAGCCTCTAATGTGAGCTATAAATCTTTCTGGCTCTCAAGAGCTCACAAGAATGCGTGAAATCTACGACATTTGCTTTCATATCATTTTCTGACTATTTACTTTATCTATTGCCCTAATACGAAGAAGCCTTCATTATTCTGTTGATTAATCTTTTGGCTATCACTGCCTAGCCGAAGTGGGAGTTCTGATAGGCCACTAAGGCTATCTGTAGGTAATTTTAATGAAAGATTGGAGCAGGCCAGCTGAGCGTCAATAGCGGGCGCGAGATCTACTTCACCTGGTTGCAGTGTTCCCTGTGTCGTTTAGCAATTTGATCACATTATATCTCTTTCCTACAGTCCTATGGTAATGGTTTCTAGTCGCTATAGGCCTCCAAGTTTATGCAAAATGAACCACGGTTTATTGTAGTCTTTACTATTGCTCTATCTCCATTATCTGCCGTCCCAATGCATGGGGACTACAAATTTGTGTCTCTAGTGCAAGATAGTTTCCAGGCACCCAAATCCTAACACTAAGGGTATATGTACAGTACCGTAGGTACACGAAAACATACCGATATCCCAAAAGACAGCTGATTTCTTCAATGCTAGGTAGAACAATACGGTGCACCTGATACTTGAAGAAAGGCCCTGCGAATTTAAAACCAGACACGGATAAACAGAATAAATTCTCTTTCTTTTGTGTTAATATGTGGACCCATTTTCAGCACAGATATTTTCGCGGATTCAACTAAAGGCGACAGAATCTATTACTACTGTATAAAATGAAGCGCCCCCGTCTCCTTTCCCGTTGGCCTCTCTAAGTCTTAAGCTCAACGCATTGTTCAATACCTTTATCCTGTTCAGGTTCTGTTTACTGTTACGTTGCTATTGATTTGTACCCAATATATAAGCATAGCAACCTCCTTTCTTATTTTAGAGGTAGGGGGAACACTTTCCATATTTCTCCCTTCACTGCACCATTTCGACGTATTATGTTGCTTAGTAGCCTGTAAGTAGGGAAGCCTTTATGATTTCCTTCATCTGAGCGAAAAGCGCTGACCAGATTGTAAAGATCTGAATATTAGATAGAGCAGAAGTAGCAAATATCTGCAACCGGCTTTGAGAAAGGCAAAACCCAAGCCAAAGCATGCCTCGCCAAATTAATAAACTCCCTGAAGTAACGGAGATTGGTCAGGTGGACCTCAATGAATGGTACCCTATTTATATTGCTTGCATGCGGTACTCCCTTGATGAAGGGAAGCACTCATCTTTTATTCAGTCACTGACCGCTCGTATCAATATTCGGCTTCCATATCAGCAATTGTCCGGCCCGCTCTTTCGTTTCCCTTTGCCCGAGTCAACGAATCTTGCGAGTGTGGGCCCAGTTACAGCTTCCCCTCATGTGTCACTGCGAATGTATGTCCGACATCTTGTTGCGACTGGCTATGACACGCCACGTATCCTAACGGCCTTTTTTGGTGATCATTGGAAGGTCGGCATTGGATGAGTGTGGGAGCAACAACGCTGCAATATCTGGCTTGCTGCGAAGAGTGGCCAACTGTCATCCATAAGAACGCCCTATAACACTCGTCTGAATGAATAGGAGCCATTTTACGGTCTCCCCATAACTCAGTACAGGAGAAGGACACACCGAATGGGGGATTGAGTGGATAATATTTCGGACATAAAAACTTATGTACAATCATGAAATAAAGACAAGGAAGAGTGTTTTATTCATAAGGGGTATGGGGAGGCTCAAACCTAACTACCCACGGGCAATACCGAAATAAAAGCAAAGCCCCTCCAGCTTGGTTAAAATAAAGTAGAAAACAAGCTGGTTATGAGATTATCCTCAGCAAAGGAGTGGCAGTGTGGACGAGCAGACTGAAAGGATTCCTGGTGCTCGGACTCAAGGTTGTTTTTGTGGATATATGACGAGGCATGCACCAGATCTTCCGGGAAGGAGCGCAAGAAGAGGAAAAGTCTAATTCTATCTTTCTGCTCAATAGAATTATCCAGCTCTCTCCCTGCTTCTGGCGGCATGATTGGTTGATTGGTGGTTGAAAGAGATATATCTTTAGCGCGTGGTTGAAAACGCGTTAGTTAGGTAGCGAGACCGCACACCATTTGTGGCTGCGATTACCTAACGCCCTACACACCGGGTGGCTTGGACAGAACATGTCTCAGACCATGTTGCGCCAATCATCTGGTAGGGTGTTATCAAAACAGGGTACTGCTGTCACCACTCGCGACCGGCTACACATGGTTGTACAATGATTGGACATATCAGAATTCCGGAACATGCGGCAACACGATGTGGAGAAACATGGCAAACTAGGGCTTGTCCCGTACGTGAATCATTAGGTCCCAGGTGCATTTGTGCATATAATAAAGCTCCATATAGTGGATAGGTTTTAGACAGTTCGGCCAGCTCATGAGACATATCGCCCCACCTTTACGAACTGAACAAAGACTGCTCTGTGGCTTCAGATGTTTAGAAAAATATTTATAATGCTAGCGCTGCGCCATCGAGATATGGATGAAATTGCTGGTCCATTATTTCCGTAGAGCTCCTTGCCACTACAATGAGGCTTCTCGCACCTCTCACGGTACTATCGTGGTACATCGCCAAAACTCAAGCGAAGGCAGTATTCGCCCACTTCATGGTACCCACCGCCCTTTTCTAACCCTCTATTTATAGACGGAATGTCTTACTAACCGCGCCGTAGCTCGGGAATTCGGCGGAATACTCAGACAATGATTGGAGGAATGATATTAAGCTAGCCCAAAATGCCCATATAGATGCGTTTGCCCTGAATATGGCGCATAACGAGATATTCGCCGGCACACTCCATAAGGCATTCGATAATGCCGACAAGCTGGACTTTAAGCTCTTCTTCTCGTTCGACTATGCCGGAAATGGCAGCTGGCCGAAGCAAGACACCATCAACCTCATGAACGAGTACATGAACCGCTCATCATATTATCACTATGACGGCAAGCCTTTCCTGTCGACATTTGAAGGCACAACCAGCCCCGATTGGCCTGAGATCAAGAACGTAACTAACGCTTTCTTCGTCCCCGACTTTTCTTCCATCGGTCCGGTGGCCGCCGCCAACAAATCCTATGTGGATGGCTTATTTAGCTGGGCAGCTTGGCCCAACGGCCCTACAAACCTTAACACTTCGGCGGACGATGCATACAGACATGCGCTAGGTGACCGCCCGTACATGATGCCCGTGTCCCCCTGGTTCTATACCAATATGCCCGGCTTCGACAAAAACTGGGTGTGGCGCGGCGACGACCTCTGGTATGATCGCTGGCAGCAGGTTATCTCCTTTCAACCGGAGTTCGTTCAAATCATCTCATGGAACGACTACGGCGAGTCCCATTACATCGGCCCGCTGCACAAGAATGCCTACAAAGCATTCGACCGCGGCGAAGCCCCTTTCAACTACGCACTTGGCATGCCCCACGATGGCTGGCGTACCTTCCTACCATACGCAATCGACCAATACAAGAACCCCAACTCGAGTATCCCCATCGACGAGGAAAATGTCGTGTCCTGGTACCGTCTTCATCCCGCCTCGGCCTGCACGACTGGAGGAACTACCGGGAACTCCATAACGCAGGGCCAGGAGGAGTACAAGCCGTCAGAAATTGTCGCTGACCGGATCATGTACTCCGCTCTGCTCAATTCCACCGCCGATGTCACCGTCGAGATCGGGAAGAACAAAGTCAACGGCGCTTGGGATGATGTGCCCGAGGGTGGGAAGGGCATCTATCATGGCAGTGTCCCGTTCGGGCAGGATGGTGACGTGAAGGTTACCATTTCAAGAGGTGACAAGGAGATCGCCAGTATATCTGGAAAGGCTATCACGTCGAAGTGCTCGGACAAGGATAAAGGATTCCAGAGTTATAATGCTTGGGTGGGTACTTCCGGGGCGCATGGTACTAAGTTCCTGTCGAGCGGAATGTGCTATTTTACTTTTTTGGGAGCTATCTTTGCTTTGGTGCGGGAATTAGCCTCACTGTGACGTTGTTACGACTTATTGGAGCATGGATGGTTTTTGTGTTACTATAATTAGAGCTTGTGATATAGAAAATGATTTGACAGCAGCTTTTTAACAATACATTTTAGATATAATTTACAAACACTTCTATGATTATCTTATTCGCTTTGCGTATTGTATGGTATGAATTGTTTTCTACGTAATTGGAAGCATGCTGGGGCCTATCGCCAGCTTCTTGCTACTAGTCATTCAAGCATTTCGAATTACGTAGAAAGCACATTATATTCTACTTTTATCGTTCTTCGAGGACTAATAGATTCGGTTGCATAGGAGACTGGGTGCCATCCAGGTGGATCTATAAAGATATGTATTTGTGCAGGAAGAGACAATCGCGTGTCCAACGGCGCGGACTCTGCCATGTAGAAGCACGTCATCCTTTTTACAAGTATCTCATAAGTATGAAGCTGGATGGAAGAGCAAAGGATAACCTTGAAGAAAAACGATACATACCAGAGAGCTTAGGGAGAGGGGAAGCAAAACATACAGAATATAGGCCCGGAAAGACAGTTTGGCATTGTTCGTCCCTGTTGTCCCTGTATCTCGAGTTTCGAGATATAATCTACGTTCAGCTGCGTTCTACTACATAATCTGCAAATTTACGACTTAAGACCAAGGGATTTAATTACTATCGCGTTGTTCCGGCGCTGTGCTTGACTCGTTGATGAGCTATCTCACCCTTGCCTTTTCTGAGCTCGCACCACAACCATATTCAAGTGAAATTAAAAGATCAACCGTGCTGCTAGTACCATATACCGGGAAGATACATCGTATCACCACAAAATGCTAGATAATAGTTGTTTTTTTGTTGACATTCCAAGTTATCTGACCGCACATTACTGTACAAAAATCGGTGGATGCAACAATGTAAGAAATATATTCTTGATTCTCTCGATGGAAAGAACGAGTGCTGTCTTTTATAGGCCTAAACTGGGCCGGTATTTGCCCTTTGCAAATTCGCATACAAAAAGCAGTACCGTGGCTGAATCCTGAGGCCTTTGTCAAACCCCAAAAATTAGTGGTACTTTTGGTTGACACTAATCGGCCTAGGACTACCGAACGATGAAAGCTGACCGAGTGATGGCGGTTTGCCAGAGGTTGGCCTGGAAATAGCAAGATGAAGCCAAAGATGAGGGCTAACAGAAGGATAACGGCTACAAAACAATTAAGGTTGGCCGAAGGATGCTATCTACTGGTTCTGGCCTTTACCTTTTAATTGGCTAGGTAACTACCCCATGGCGTATGACAGTCTGAGTGTTATTTCCGCAAAGACCGTCCTGAGATATGCATTTAACTCCGGTAAAGCCGACCGAAGATTTAAAATGATGAGATGCCATAACCCCCTCAGAGGCTGCAGATACCGAGTACTACACTGCTTAATGGCCCGTCGAAGTTCCAGTATTGCTTGAATGAATCCATACGCGACTTCATTCTCCACGGAGGATATACCTGACTTATCAGGCAAAGTCATTATTATCACAGGGTACGAAGAGGTGATGCTTGCCTTGCTTAGTTTCACAAATCTTGGACTGATATATCGTCATTGCTCTGTACTATAGAGGTGCAACAGGGATAGGAAAAGAAACTGCTTTGCAGTTATTTCGCCGCAACGCCAAAGTATACATCGCGTCGCGATCACGAAGCAAATACGATGATCTTACGAATGAGGTTTTCCGCTCAGCAATCAATCAGGACCATGATGTAGAGAGGCAAGAGCAATTTCAGTTCCTTGAACTTGATCTATCGAGTATTGAGAGCTGTGTTCGGGCAGCGCAGGAGTTCAAATTGAAGGAGCGAAGACTAGATGTGGTGATTGCTAATGCTGCATTAAGTGTTGCGGTGAGTTGATCAGTCCATAAAGGGAGGCTTGGTAGTCCTTCTCTAACGTTTCTCAAAGCCGTGTACTCTGTCCAGAGACGGCATAGAAATCCAGTTTGCAGTAAGTCACTTCTGGTTTGTTGCATGCATGACTGACAAATTTTGCAGACAAACGTAAGCAGAATCAAGACGAATTTTAGTATCCTTTGATGAGGCTGAGTATCTTGAGGACGTAGCATTTAGGCCATTTTGTTTTCATTCATCATCTTTCTGTGAGATGTTTCCATCCAAGGTCAGATCCTTTTATACACTAACTAGCTTCTGGAAGGATATCATTCAGTCCACGTCAGTCCTGTTCAATGAAGCACGAGTCATAGTTGTAGCTTCCCATGCTCATGCTATGTACAAGTCATCCCATCCAGATACTATCTGCTTTGAGGATCTCAAGAAGGAGGGGCGAAAGCGGCTGGAATCTTTCCAGGACGTTCAAGAAGCCCTACAAAGGTTATTCACACCATCCACACTCTCTGCTAGTACTAAGAAAATATAGATATGCACGGTCAAAACTAGCTAACGTCCTCTTTGCTCGAACCCTATCTACCCGGTTCCGGCGCCTGGGCTACGCTAATGTATTTGTCAACTCTCTTAATCCAGGTAACGTCATAGCCCATAAAGGATCTTTGTCCTCATTATTTCTAGGCAGCGACCTTCTATCATCACCTGTATCCTCTATTCTTGCCTAATGATTGACTATAGTGCTCGCTAATACTAAGTTTCTAATACTAGGCACTATTGGCACTTCATCCTCTACTGATTCGGCTGCTATCCCTTCCTGGTTATCGGTTATCACTTATCCACTTGTGCGTGTTACAAGTATACCTCCGAAGTCTGGGGCGTTGACGAGCCTCCTTCTTGCAACAAGCCCTGAGATCCCAGCAAGGAAGCTGCATGGAAGATACTTTGATGTTGGGCCATTAGCTGGCAAGTTCTGGTATGGGTATAGCTGGGATGCAACTGAGAGGAAAATGTCAAAGCAAGCCAAAAATGAACGATTGGCTTCACAATTGTGGGAATGGAGCTTCCAATCGATGACGGAAGCACAAAGGAAAATGGTCCGAAGTGGTGATGTGGGTTAATATTTTAAACACACCGGCCCCCATCTCATCTTATCCTGAGGCGAAATAAAATATTTTGATTGGGAGATTCACTGCAACTGGCATACTAGGCCCTACATCCGCTAACCTGACCGGGAAATGCGATTCAAGGCTATTCCAGATAAAGATACGATCGACGTAGCTAAGCAACATGGAAGATTTCTTAAAGGGCTTGGCATATAGAAATTGGTTCTATTCTATACTTCATGTATCCTCCCTACAGACACCGTTGGATTGCAATCGACATTAAGGTCAGCCACACAAGGCAGATCGACAGTTTAGGCTCCCATATTCTAGCCCTGTGACTAGTTCTAACGCCACACTGATCCTTCAATCGAGAGGCAGGGGAGAGGATGCGTAATGGCTTCTTATAGACTTATGACTTTCTCTGATTCCATCTGCTGTAGACCGGACACAGTCCTCTACTTTTTATATAAATATTATTCTCATTACTAACGTATATTTCCTTGACGTTTTTGATTTATCCCAGACTTCATAGCACCTCTATCACCTGGCATCATGGGCATTTTCAGGGATAAAGGTAGCAGCGCCAATCACTCATGCCCTACGCCAACATCTCTCTCCAAAAGTACCATGGGTTCATCCTGCAGTCTACAAGCTAGCTGTTTCAGTACATAAAAACGATGCCGATATATAGAATCATTAGACCCGGTAGTGGGAAACATATCCTTCTACCACCTAATATGATAATCTCCGGTTCCTGTACAGCCTTCGTCTGTCTAGTTGTATTTAGTCTGATAGCGTTTCACGCAACACACCTAAGCAGACCAACTGAGCAAATCAAGTATGCTCGCAATTCCCACGCTTACTGTCCAACTCGATGGAATGTCTCTCATACAACCATGATAGAATTATGAAAGTTTGCCTCCTCATTCCGCTTTACCCAATTTCGTCTTTCCTTTTCACCTGCTTCCCAATGGCTTCCGTGTACTTAGAACCCTACCCCTGGCTAGGGTACATGCAGGCTATGGCGCTTGGAAGTTCTTTCCTGCTTTTGTGCCAGTTCATCTCAGGGGACTACCAGACCGAAGTTAGTCTTTTCTTCGCTGCTTTTGCAGCACCACGGAAAAAGAATAAACCTCAGGTCAGCGGGCTAGAATGGTTCAGGGTACGTTGAGAAATGTTTCTATTCCCGCATACAGGGATTGGATTCGAATGAGTTATTGGGCTGACTGCTGCAAATGGGATAGAAACAATGGATTGCGATCTTCCAGTACCAGTTTTGCTCTACTTGTAGCCGTTGCAACCGATATTATCCAAGCTGACAACATATACTGCCTAGACAGCACCGAACCCTACTTTGCGCACATCTAGGTAAGAACAATTGATGGCCTTCTTCGAATTGAACAATAGTAGGACAGACGGTGGTATAGTTAACTGTCGTAATAGGGATATCTACAGCTCTTGCCGTCACGTCCGTTATCAACTCCTACAGTGCCTTTAAGCAGAACCTTACAAGCCACTAGTCTCTGGCCAAACTGCTGTTATTCAAGCTAATTGTTGGTCTATCGTTTATTGAAAAGGTAAGCGCATCACTCTAAGCCTTACCTAGCGCATTTAATCTGCATTTGTGATTTAATAGGACCACTATGAATTGCATATATTAGATCATCTTTATGATTCTACGGTCCACCGGTTTCCTCAAAGAATCTCCTACGCTAAGCTACGCCGACGTAAATATTGGTATACCTAATATGGTGAGTTGTGTCCAAATGGTCCCCTTTGCGCTCTTCTTCCCCTACGCGTGGAATGTGGCACGGTATTTTATTTCGCGCCAAAATCTAGCACTGCCAGCATCCGAGAACCAGAACCTGAATCGTGATCAAATCACTAGTCCAAATTGAGTAGGATTGTGGCTGATAGCGGAGCTTTAGTGGTAATTTTGGTTGACAGTATGGTACTGTGGTCTATGATATCAACATATTGTTCCCTATACTAGGTTGTTCCACTATACTAGGTTGTTCCCTATACTAGGCAACTGGATTGCGTGCAGCTGGTCAATAAACTTACTTCCTTCTTCTTCCCCTGAATCACATCAGCGGTATACAGTATGCCTTTC